GCTCTGATTGGCTAAGACTCTTCGGCTCCTTTTGAGCCTCTGGAGGCTCCGTTGAAGTTCTCCGAAAGCCAACTCAACACATAGATATGAAGAAATTATAATATGAATATTTTCTTTGTGAATGATAAGCATTCATAAACAGACTAAATTGGAACCCATTCGATATCAAAAGATTTCTTATTCATCTTGGATCGACAGGATAATATGAATATCCATAAAAATCCAGTTTTGACAATAAAAGTTAAACACTTACTTTAATTCTAAACAGCAGACGCAATAATTATCACAGTATATTATCGATGTTGTAGCAATCTGGCTTTTAAGTAAGCAACCTTACTAATATTCTAATAGCTATTTAAAATGTTTTACTTACGATAGATTTGCAACTTGGTAATGGGAATTATAAAATTTTTATAAACAACGATAGGCTTGATATATACAAACTTTTGAACTTAATCAAGTATATTTATTTACATGGGAGATTTATAATATTCTCCTGCCCAGGACATTTGGTTACTTCAGTAAATTATTGATCACAGTCGACTCAATTTTGTCTTTTAGGTATTTAACCCTTTATATGAAAGAAACCAAATCTAGATATTATTTAATTTGTACAACATAGAAAGTAATGTTTTGGAGTGTTATAAATATAAACAATCATTGTGCAGTTTTATTGCACTCATAAAAAGATCACCTGGTAATACAAGTTGACGTAAAATGTTGATATCACCATGTGTTTTGCTTTTCCACTCTCGTATGTCCACTCATACAACAATGATCGAATAGAGCGGACTGTTATACAAAATACACGTTATGGATATACGAAAAAATTTTCATCTGACAGAGAAACAGAAAATCAAAATGATAGGAACCTTATACAGGAAAACAAAGGTATTCAATCTATCTGAGCATTATAAACTGTTCTTATAGAAGGAGATAAAGACATTGGAAAACTGAAGTAGTATAAGTTAGATAAAAGTGCTTAAGTAACAAACTTGATCAGAAGATTACATATTAATAATAGTCAAACATACAGATTACAATGTGTGATAAGGAAATAAGTTTGAATTTTTTTGTTAATGTAGAATGTGATATAACCGTGAATCAGTTTAAACTGTAACATTTATAAGAAATTTATTATAATAGAAGCAACAGAAAATAGTTAAATACGGACTAATGGTTGTATATAAGGGAGAATAAATACCAGAAAGTAAATTCACTCTGTATGGAATAAACTACTGATTTCCTAATCATTCATTCGCTTACGCTTTGATAAAAACCAGTTAAAAATTTTGGGTGCAACTTATTCAGCAAGTATAGATTCATGTACTTAATTTTCAACCATATTTTAGATGTGAAGACTACTGGTACTGAATCCACAAACCGGAGATGGGCTAGTGTTTGAAACCGTAGTCCATTAATTGACAACAGGGTGTACGAACGACTAGGCCACTAATCCACTTTGCGATACAAATTACAGTGTATTTTATTATTATTTCACTAATTGCTTCGCAATTCGATCAAACGTAAGGGACGATACGTTGATACCGGTAATCAAAAACTAGAATTAACAAAATAAATGATGAATATCCAGAAAACACTTAGCTATATACGAATGTTGAGCGACTTCGTGTTGTTTATACGATAATGGATAAACAACTAAATATCATATCGAGGCTGAAACTAAAGTAATCCAGAAAATTTAGGTTAACTTTTATATCACGGGCCGATGTGATGAACTACTCAAACTAAACATACTTAGACTGATATGTTCATCACATTAATCTCTACATTTTAACAGGTAATTAGAGTATTCTTAAGATACGAGTTTCAACTTGTGATTGTAAAACTAACAGCAGTCACATTTATTGAAGAGATCCAAGTACAGTGTTTAACGAATCAAGATACTACAAAAAATGTACATCTTTAAAGAAAAAAATATAAGTAGGTTATTCGTAGCTTGCGTCTAAAAGCAAGTCGTAACCAAATTTATAGGTTCTCGATGTAGACTACTGTGGTTTATGATTAAACTTAGAAATTAACTATTATCTCAGAGCTTCATACTTTGCTAAACTTATCGAGAATAAGAGAATGGAAAAGGAACAACAGAATCATTTTAGATAAGGTATACTAAAGATGTGAATAAATTATTTCGTCTTGATAATTGAATATATATATATATATATGTTTGTAAAAACAATTATCTATAATATCTGCACAAAACTTTTATTCGAAGTTTGATTTCACACATTCCATCACATATTTTGGTATAGGTAAGAAGAATTCTAACACAAAAATAAACCGGTTAAACTGGAAAAAATTAGTCATGGAACGTGAGATATTCTTCGGTACAAATTAATTTAATCACACATAATGACAACATATTTTGTGGTCGTATTGTCTTTCAATAATATCCTAGTATCGATTTTCAATGGTTAAAAGAAATTCAGAAACAGACAAATATCAAATTAGATAGTTAAAGATTGTATCTACGTACCCAACGATAAGACTGTCCATCATATTTACGAGCCGAGGTGAATAGGACCGTTCTAGCAGGCATATTTAAACCCATGGCAAATGTTTCTGTAGCAAATAAACACTAAATATCCATATAAAACAATAAGCAAAAATGTAGGGCTAACAGCAAATGATTGAAAAGAATAATTATCAAAGTAATGGTAAATAGTCTTTAGAAACCCACTCATTTGTTAATATACCATGATGCTGACTTAGGAAACCTTAGAAATCTAATTTCCAAGTTAATAACAATATGTATATTGAGTAAAATTAAGTTACCGAAAAATTGCTTGAGACATACATTTACAATAATATATTTTATTACCCTGACGAATTCACGACATGAATTTAGATGGTTCGGTTGGTTTTTGCCAAGTTTCGTTACTTATGGTGTAGACGAGATCTCCCATCTGTGAACCAAAGAGCATTTACACTGAGCTATATTACTTTATGGCCATGAAACATGATCTTTATAAGTAGAAGACATAGTGAAGCTGCAGGTTTTGATCATATTTATTTTTGAAGAATTTCCCGTCTTTTGTGGAACAGCCAAGTGACCAGTGTTGAGAGTAGGCATATATTGCCGCGAAAATGCTGCGAATCTATTGATAGGGTTGTGAATCTTCATCGACTGAGGTGTTTGGGACACATGTTACGTATGTCTAACCACCACCTAACTTTCCGGACATGTTAGCTGATGTAAAAGTAGGTTCAAAGAAAGCCAAGGATGGCCCACGCAATAACCGCGACCGGTGATTATAGACGTTGGGCGACAGATCGGAATAGGTCACAATGTCAGTGGTGTACTCACTTTTTGTTCTCTCACAAATGTTAAATCTCAAAATTATTTTATACTTATTATTATACGAGTTCTTCCTATCTTCGCAAAGCATATTTCCACGCTTAATCTTTTTTACTACCACTGATACTACTACTTCTACCACTTTGGTATTCATCTTGATTATTTCATCTTTGTGTCACAAAAAAAGCAATCGATAAACGTATACAAACGTGAAATCAGTAAATAAATTAACATGTTCACGAATATAAGCTTTGATTAGATCAACTCTTACAACCTGATTGTCACGTAGTCTATGTACTAAAACCGGTATTGTAAAGTCTTCGTAACTTTGCTTGCATGTATGGATTCCAATTTAAATCAACGGATAATAACTCAATGAATTCATAATAGATTACCACTTAGTATCTTGAACCGTTCATAATACTTTAACATTCTGTGATTATTGTGCACTGACCGAAATAGACTATTGCTAGATGAATATAAAATAGGAACTAGTCGCCTCGATCAATAAAAGAGAGTACGAGCAATGTGTCGATAGTAAAAAGTACAACACTAGGGGTAAGTGTGAGATTACTAGAATCTTTTACTAATGATAAAATTAAAAGACTGTAACACATATGACTGATGCTAATATACACCCTCTATATACAGTTGTTGTAAGACAAGTGTAAACAAACATAAAATGAAGGCTTACTTTAATTAAATTCTCAGAAAATAATATTTCTATAGTTTCCTTTAATAAAGGCAAAAGACCACCATGATGTATACCAATACCACGCTTAAGCAATGGTAAGACACTCTCAACTTGTGGTAATGCGCGATCTTCAGGTGAAAGACCATCGATTGCATTGCGGAATACTTCATCAACGACTTTTTTCTCTGCATCTATACATGGAAAACCGATAACAATAATTACAGAAATTGTCAACCAACAAATAATAAAGGTGATAAGATTAGAAGCATTAAACCAAAAGAAAAAATAAAAGGTGCCACACATTGGGAAACCTGAGGAAGGTCAAGGTTGAGATATCAAATATGAAAAACTTCTGAAAATCCTAAAGGTATATGACGGAGAATTTCTAGTTACAGCGAAATCGCAAGTAACTTTGATTCTGTACAGGATTAGGGAATATTTCAAGTCACCAAGTTACATACTTTGTATGGTCATGATACAGAAAAAGATGCTAATCCTAACTTTAATTCTACAGAGTTACATTACTAATTATCTGGGTTATTGACTTTCTAACTGGTCTCAACATTAGTAAACAAGACTTGGTGAGGAACATCACGGATGTAAAGAAAATTGAAGTAACGTTATTTAACGGAACTGTTACAGATGAACAACAATGGGGTAAAAAGGCGATAAAGATGACCAGACGGAAAAAGAAGTCTAATATCATTAGATATAGTAATGAATACTTTTTAATATTAATCCATGAAACATTGCTAAAATAATCATGAATATTGGGATCGGAGTTACATGGGACACTTGGATTACAACCCAAAAATTTTGAAAAAATAAGCATACCAGTAGTGAAATCGAATTTGGCTAATTGGAGTGCATAGATTTCACACTCCTTTTTACTGAAACTAAATACAATTATCGGTTCCAAACTGCGATGTTTGACCAAACGAACAATTTGAATGACATTATTTTCAGAACCTAAAAGAAAGCGCATAATGTAAGTGGTTATATAAGAACTAATTGCTGGTTAGATAACTTGAGGTATTAAGTGATTACACCACAGAAACTATGTGTCATAAATGCTTGCGCTATTCAGTAAGGTGTATGTAGAATACTAGTTAAAGTCATGACTTTTTTGGAAGATATTGGCCCAAGTGACACAACACTGTAGAAAGTTATGAGTTGAAGTTCTATACATTCCAGAGTAACTCATACATACTAGATACCAACACTAACGACCAGAGAAAAACATGGTGTATACAAACTATAATACAATTAAAATAATCTAACGATGAAACAATTTTATATTCAATTGACAAGCACACTGGAAAACAATAAGCTTTAAGATGTTCACACTTAGTGGAATTCGGTAAACATAACTTCTTTAGATAATATACAGTGGAAATGTTTCTAAAGAGAATAGAAACTGGTTTAAACAAATACTATCTTACCAGGCTTTAGATTATCACTTAATAAACTAATTATGTATACAAGAATAAGGGGAAAATATTATAAAGACAGGGATATCTGTACACATCTCATGGATTAAGAAGACTCAGTCCAAACGTTTTACCCGATCCGAGCTACTTCAGGGAAATTATCGGAAATAAGGAAGACTAACACCATGAGCCCCATATATACTGGCGAATTTAGTTACTCTTAATAAATAGGATAGAGTGCAACTAACCACATTTTGGCACTGAACTAATATTCAATAAATAGTAAGTTTGTGACCGATTCTCATACTCATCTTAAACTCCACTGTTATTGACAAAATTTTTTTTCGATTTGACATGTTTCCAAATACCTTTGACATACATACTATATATCCTGAACAAGCTTTACTTGTTCTATATTTCCAATTTTGAAAATGCAGACGATTATCACAGCGATTAATATGACCCTGGACATATTTTTTAGCGTTATATGATTATTAAAATCAAGTTACACTAACATACATCGTATACCACAACTACTCATACGAGATAACTTACACTCATTATAAATAGTTTATTTTTATGTAATGAAGGATGATTAGGAACTTTGCAGACACTACTTGCTTACTACATAACAACTATAATTTCCAACATATTTGAACTCAGTAAAGAAGTATGACAATTTGTGTAAACAATTTGCGCCATTCTTGATATTATTTAATTGTTAGGCATTAAAGCATATGACAATGATTTAAATTGATTTCAGATAAATCAGATATATATTAGAGCACATATTATGAGAAAATAGGTAACCCACGTTTATTATAATCAACTTGTGACTTTTGTCTTTTATTTGATGATTCATCCGAAAGGAACGAGCGCATAGCTCGTTCAAAATTTTGCTCCAAATATTTACCCTATAAGAAAACATTTAAATAGGCTGACATAAATCGAAAAAGACGAGGATATATATATAATTATTATCTATTCATTTCCGCTTAGGTAGGGGGGCTTACATTAACTCAAAATAGTTCAGATCAAATATCAGTATTCCCATAACAAAGTACACGTTTCAGTTTGATCACCTTGATACTTTTACCACTGCTATTTTAACTTTTATAAAATAGTTTAAAAAGTTGTTCAATATAAGTGTTCACTAACGCTTCAAAAAGTACACTGAATCGAATTTTTCTAACTAGATTTGATCTTAGAAATAATTCTGAGTATATAAAATCGAAATACATTTCACAATCTTATTAAGTTTAACTCTTCCCACCAGAAAAAAATTGGCTTGAGTATGAAAGACTTAATTAGCTCCGATAGCTTGGGAGTAACTTTCCCTACTACGCTGTTAAATGACATCGTTTAGAATTTTTGGAAGAATCAATTGTCTAGAGTTACAGATATGCCTTGCCGATGAATATCAACAAGCTCGGAATCTAAATATAGAGCTTCCAAAAAATGAACTAACTATAGATGGCAGATGACCTGATTTGTAATCAAGTTATTTTGATCCTCGACCGTTTGCCTGCAGATATATGAGATATTATTTACTTATACATGAATGTTATATTTTCCCAGGTCACAGAAACCTTTTACCTGCTAGTTGTCTCTAAGACACACGTTTTATGAGCATTTCATGAACATTCTAAATGTTCTGACCTTCGGAATATAATAAATTGTCATTTTTGCAGACAAAATCTTTAAAATTCTATCACAGCTTCTCTACAAAGTTTACCATAGAATGATTTTTAACGGATATTAATAAAAGCATTCATCCCACTTGTTAAGGAAATCAAATTATAAACAACACATTGAACAAATTTCCTATTAAGATTTATGGACAAAATTTTCTATCACTTCGAATAAGATGATTGATAAGTATTATTGAAAATAAACATTCTAATACGACCTACTGCCAATCTTACGGTTCACACGAAAAACTAAATAAACTTGTTTTCTGATACATGTGGATGTTTTATTTCCTAAGGATATTATTTTCATCTGATCTGATTATTATAAAATTTGGTAAAGATAAGTACCACACAACCACAGAATAAAGAGACAGTGTTATGGAGAAATAAAAGAGGGAGAGTGTGGTCAAAGAAAAAACAGGCGAACAAGAATACTTTAAGATAGGAGATACAGGTCGGTTAAAAATACGTCTAAAAAGACTTCTTACACATAGTTCCCTTTATCATTTTGAAAAGAGCAAGAACAAAGATTCTAGCAGAATAGCATGAATTCATTTTATTTCGTAGGTTCTTGTCAGCTGCTTACAACCTGTGATATTTAAAAATCATAATTACATAATGGGTTGAAATTGCCTACTGAATATTGTAAATATATACCTAATGTGAAAGAATATTCTACAAGATTAATTGTGACAACAGTTTAAAAGTGGGTCAGAAACAATTGATTACATAATGAATAAACATTGATAGGAATATAGTGAGTAGAGTTCAGTTGGAAGATTATTAATTTGAAAGGTAGTTAAAAAAATGAAATAAAATCAATGATGTAATAAATGCAAAAGGAAGAAGAATTTTAAGGTGCAGTGAAGGAATATTTGTCACCAGGGCAAGGAAAGTTAACCACCGTCTCCTTTTGAATACATAGGTCAGGTTTTTGATGCCTGATGGCAATGGATTCAGCAAACTTCAGAAGACTGGAGTTTGGCTGCTTACTAATCACCCTAAAGGATTGTAAAGCATCTACCTGATGTCCTGTATCAAGGAGATGTTTGGTGATTGCGCTGTTCAGAGTCTTTCTTTCCCTTGTTCTAAGACTTTTTGGAACATGTCCAGAAAATCTAAGATATGCTCTCCTTTCAGTTCGGCCGATGTAGCTGCTTTGGCAGGTACACGTAAATTTATAAATACAGTTGGTGGTAACTTGAAAGGGTTGCTTGTCGATCTTTGATTGGTTTATTGAGCATGTTGTTTTATAGAAAGTTAAAAGTTTAGCAGCCGGTTAAGTTCTGGATAGAGCAGTGTTCAGTCTCCTGTTGATTATTTGTGCGACATTATCACCTTTAAAGTTATGATTTATATATACTGGTTTTTTATTGACCGTAGTTATTTCTGTCTTGTTTTCCAGGGCTTTTTATATTTGTTAATAAACTTTTGTGGATAAAAGTTGTCTTTTAGACATTTTTCTACGTTCATTAATTCTTCTTCCAGTTTGTCGGTGGTACATATATTTTCTACCCTGTAATATAGTGTTTTAACCAATGCCTTCTTGTAACTAATTGGACAAAAACTATTGAAATTCAGGTAGAGGCCATTCCAATTACTTTTTCTATAAACTGAACGTTGGACTGTCCCATCTCCTCTGGGTTTTATGGCAACATCAAGAAAGTGTAACATGTCGTTCTATTCGTGCTCCATAGTGAAATGTATGTTAGTGTGAGCGCTACTGAAAAGTTTTATAAATGCAGTTGGCGGTAACCTGAAAAGGTTGCTTGTCGATCTTCGATTGGGTTATTGAACATGTTGTCTTATAGAGAATTAAAAGTTTAGCAGCCGTATATCACAGGTTGTAAGCAGCTGACGAGAACCTACGAAATATAATGAATTCATGCTATTCTGCTAGAATCTTTGTTTTTGCTCTTTTTAAAAAGACTTGTGTTAAGGAAGCTCACTTCATGTTTACCAAAAATGTCAAAAACTATATCAGGACTGCCATCGGTTTTGGTTTTGAGCCATGTCTGACATCATCTCAGGCTGCTGAATTGAACCATTTCAATAACCCAAGTAAATGAGTCACGAAGGACAGATAAGTGATTGTCCTCTAAAGTTTTCTTTTAAACCATGGAGCTATATCAAAAACTGATCACCTCTCTAGTTCTTAAACCCCGTCTTAGCATCGGTAAATAAAACACAGTATAGAATTCGCTGGGATGATAATCGTAACACATGTTCAAGCCAATGAAATCGTTGTTTCAAAATGATGATACTGGACCTCTGTATTATTAACAACGATGACTGAACACAGAGTCAATCTTTAACGGATTTCAAACAAACTGTGAAGTATTATGTGAGTCAACAGTTTGAATGCACCTAGAAACACACTTATCCTTCAAACGTTATTTAACTTTTTACAGATGGGGTCAACTATCGCGTTATTGCAGGGTGTCGAATTACTGTCTTCTATACTTTTTAAACAATCTAATCAGTTCTCTGAGAGAAATTTCTCTACCATTCTTGAGTCGTCTAGGCCGGGTGACTTATGGCTCTTCGTAAGTTGAAATTTTTTAAGAACTTCGACCCCGTTTGCTGGATTAGTCATCGCCGAACACACAGTACAAGACAGTTTCATAGATGTTTCTGGAGCAAAATATCAGCTGAAGTCTTCCTCGCAAAACCCTGCTAAACATCCAAAACGCTTTTAGATGTTAATGATTGTCACCCCATTAGCTTCATAGATTTCTTTTAATCACACCAGACTTCTTGATGTCAGGGGGTTGGATGAGCTGGAACAGTTTTAAGCCGTTACCGGATGCGGCTGCGGCTTCCAACTCTTTAGCATGCTTCGACCACCAAACTTTCCGATCTTTACAGAAACTTGGCACAATTTATGTTTATCATCAAACTCTCGATTTGTAGAAGTACACCAGGGTGATTTAAGGAATTATAAAGAGCTTGCAGAAACTCTATACTTATAAGCGGAACGTTTCGAAAAGCCGCATAAGAATTTACTACACATTGCCTTGGCATTATGCAGTTGCAGCCAATGTTTATCCACATCTTCTCGTGAACCTGTAGCTAGCCTCGAACCTGCCCCTAAAATGATCTAGTATGGTCGAGAGTGGGGAGAGTCAGCTCTCCCTCTCCAAATGCTCTCACATGTGGACGTGCATACAACCACTTCCAGGAGAGTCCTACTCACTGCCTTCTCGTGGTGGGGGTGTTCACGGAATTGAGAGGATGAAAAGCGAATTGCCTGAACTTTAGACGGGTTGATGGACACGGAAGACCCACCTAGGGGAGTTGGAAAACCCTGATTCCAAACCAATGGCTCACTAGGATCCTGAGGGAACAAATAACATATGAACCAATTGTTGGTCACCGGTTAACATGGAACCGCATCACCTGACGTTGCCCCCATGCCTTGTGGATCAGACCTTTAGGTCGAAGGCTCCGGGCGTGACCCCCTACGAAAACCATCTTCTTCAGCTTGGGCTCCCGGACAATATCCAAACTGCATATCTGTTCAGTGCCTCCTTGTACCAATGTTCATGTGGTTAAATGATGATGATGATGATAATAATAAGGCTTGAACCTAGTTTGGTTCGATATTTTGATTGCAACGGAAGCTGCCCTCAATTCGTCTACAATAATCCATTAGAAACGATGAGTTTGTAGACCAGTGAGGCGTAAGATTGGAGGAAACCAAAAAGAACACCATTTTTGAACGTGACCATGCCAGCGGTAGCTGATCGCGATGTTACCGATCTGAGTATCCACTTGAGTCATCGGAGGAGCCCCACGCAGTATATCGTCGATAACCGTCCTGGGAGTGGGTGCAAGCTAGAAAAAGATTGCGGTTTGTGCAAAGTTTATTGAAATCGGCATCGTTATCTAACCTTTGACCAACAAGTTCCCATATGCCACTTCAGCTACTCGGTTCTGCGTCTAACTCAAAATAAAAACCATACATCACTTTAATAAAGTACGTCAAATGAGATCTCACCTCGTCCAATACGAGAAACAAACCCTCACTACCCACAGGATATAGATAATGACGTAGTGGTACAGGACGGCAGTCAGATGAAACAACATGACATGGTTGATGGTGAAGGTGAGCTATCCATTCAGCAAACTGGCGAGCATTTGGAATAGTAGCACTAAGAAACACATAACGAACATTATCAGGTAAAAGCACTATAGTTTCTTCCCAAACCACTCCACGTTCAGGGTCACGCATATAATGAATTTCGTCAAATATAACCCAACCGACCTCTCGCACCATTGAAGCACCTCTGGGAAATAAAAATAGAAATTATCATTAAGTTTGAGGATATTTATATTAAACAATATATTTGCTAAAGCTGATTAACCTCCACACAATAGATGGGAGTTTTAGCATTTCAACACATACATAAAGGTTAATTCTTACTATTATTTACCTGGTTCAAATTATATATTTGAATGAAGTTCAGCTAGCCATTTGAATATGGAGATTAAAGTTACCAAAAACCAATTCAACTTCGATGGATCAACTGATGCCATCAGGATTATTAATACGAGCCTTTTAAATATGGTAAACGAGATTTTGCATAGTCAGTGGAGCGGTGGGTTATTAGTTCAAACACTAAACGTCTTACCAGTAGGTTGTAAGTGTAAACCTCTCACAACCTACTCCAGTTTAGTCAGTCAGTAACAACGTAGAACTTCGTACGTACGTATATCAGTTCGAGTTGACACACCACCTTAACACAGAGATGCAGTTGTCGATTCAAATCCCATTGTGGTAGAGGTAGCAAGAGTGTAAGCAGTGATAGGGAAAATTAGGGTTTGGAGATGTTATTTAAAGAGTATAATTCAGTGAAATAAACTTGGGAAGAGAAAAAAAGGACATGAAGAATTCAGAAGATTAGAATTTGGGAGAACACAAAGAGTGGATGCACCTGCGCCATTGCAAACGATTTTGAGCCATGTCATTCAGGGTCTCTAACCATCGGTTGCTATCATCTCGCGGTCCCCAACCAGGTAGTCTACACCTACCAACATGACTCAGACCACTTGTCAATGACTTCATGGACTTGTGCCATGTTTTGGTCTGGCCGCTCCTAGCTTTCTTCCAACCTACTCCTATACCACTGAACATCGCACGTCGAGGCATTCAGTCGTTGGGCATACGTAACACGTGTCCCAGCCATCTCAACTGATGAAGTTTCACTACTTCATCAATTGATTTGCCATCCTTACCTAGTACCCGTTTCCTAACAACTGTGTTACTTACTCGATGGTCCCATGATATACGAGCAATGTTTCGAAGACACCTATGATCGAATACTAGTAACCTACAAATATCCTCTACTCTTACCGGCCATGTTTCACTGCCATAAAGTAGGACGGAACGAACTGCTGCGCAGTAAACACGTCCTTTGGTTGATAGACGGATATCTCGCCTACGCCATAAATGAAGCAAGTTGGCAAAAGCTAGTCGAGCCTTCTGTATCCGTGCTGAGATTTTGTCACAAACCAGACCACAAGGGCTGATGAGACTTCCAAGATAAGTGAAGCGGTCGACACACTCAATTACTTCACTCTCTATCATTAGTTCGGGTGTCAATGCAATCCAATCCTGAAGCAACATTTTGCATTTCGAGGGGGAGAATCACATCCCGAACATGTTTGCATTGTTGCTTAGAGTGGTCAGAAGACTCTGCATTTTGTCAGCGTTTCCACCAAATAAAACCATACCATCAGCATATTCTAAGTCAACAAGTGAACCTCTCGGTAGAAGTTCAACCCCTTTAAATTTAAATGAGGAATGTGTTATCTCTAAAAGTACGTCAATGACAAAGTTGAACAAGAATAGAGAGAGTAAACAGCCCTGTCGAACACCACTTGATGTAATCAATTCTGATGACAGTTCGCCATAAGCTCTCACTCTACCAGTTGTGTTCGAGTAGAGAGCCTTTATAAGGTTAATGTACTTCTTTGGTACTCCTTTCAGTGACAAACACTGCCATAGAACCTTACGATCAACAGTCGAATGCCGCCTTAAGGTCGAGAAATACTACCATTGTGGGGCGTCTAAACGTGTGTCTATGTTCTAGAACCTAACGTAGTGTGAATATTTGGTCTATACAACCACGTCCAGGTCGAAAACCAGCCTGATTTTCTCTAGTTTGGTCTTCACGAGCTTTGATTAGGCGTCGAAGTATTATTGAGGCCAATATTTTAGACACTATATTAGTCAAACTGATTCCTCTGTGATTGTCACAAGAGGACTTTTGTCCTTTCTTATAGACTGGCACAATCAGTGATTGAAACCAGTCAGATGGGATTACGTCCAGTTCCCAAATTCTACCTAAGACCTCGGTTAATCTCATTGCTAATACTGGACCATCATCCTTAAAAATCTCAGGAGTAAACCTGTCAGGGCCTGGTACTCTCCCTCGTTTCAGATTTCCTATGGCTCTTTTAACTTCGTAAAGGGACGGAGGACTTACATTAACTTGCCATTCAGGTTGACTGGGGATCGTGGGAAACCGAAGTGTGGCTGAAGGCCAGTTGAACTGATCCCTGAAGTGTTCTGCCAATCGATCCAATCTCCTGGATTGGGAATGAATAATATGTCCATCTTTCTCTGAGATTGTTTCGCTAACGGTCGGGTTCCTAATTCCGGTTTCCTTAACGAGTCTGAACAATTGTCTGCTATTACCTATTGCCGCTGCCTTTTCCATCTCTCTTTCTTTCGCTAACAACCACTGTTCTCGATCATTGCGTAGACTTCTTGTCAGCTTGCGCTTAAGCTGATTCCGCACTTCACTATGTTCAGAGCCAGGTGGAATGAGTTTCCGAGCATCTATCAGTGCGATAGATGCTGCTGAGATCCAGTGTTGCTCCCTAACCTTACGGGTTACCGTACTAGCAGATATCACTGCTGTTTCCACAGCTTTTCGGATATCACTCCATGTTGCATCGGGGTGGGCATCACATACATGGCTGCCTAACTGTTTTCCTAGTTGTTCCTGAAATATACTCTTAGCTTGACTATCATTAAGTAGGCCCCTAAGAGGTTTCCTTGCAGCGTCTTTCCTACGTCCAGTAAGACACAGGCAAATACGCGCTCGCACTAGAGCATGATCTGAATCTAAGCATGTGCTCCAGAATGAGCGACAGTCTTCTATCGAGCCCCTCCATCGGTGGCTGATGGCGATGTGATCTATTTGGGTCCAACGTTGGGACGAATTAGGGGGTCGCCATGTTAAAAGATGTTTTTCCTTATGCTTAAAGTTAGTATTTGCAAGGAACAGGCGATTATCTGAGCATAGCTGCAACAGACGGTCGCCATTATCTGTTCTTTGAGCCACGACGCTATAAGATCCACCCAGGTGTCTTTCCCTATTGCTTAGTTTACCTACTTGAGCATTAAAGTCACCGGCCACTATTACTACATCAGAGCGCCTAGCTTTTCGGAGAAGGTCGGAAAGCTTTCTGTAAAACTCATCTTTTACATCATCTGAGCTGCAGTCAGTGGGAGAATAGGCAGAAATGACGAAGAGGCAACGACAGGTGTCCCTATCTTTCCGGATTCTTACTGTTCCGTTCAGTCGGACAGCGCACAAACAGCCGTCTACTGGGATCCACTCTAAGAGAGCTAGTTCTGCTCTGGGACTCAATGGTATACCTACGCCGGCGAGGCCACGGGAAGCAGAACTAGGGCTTCCAGATACACGAAGTGTGAATCGAGTCGGTTCTTTATTTTGGCATGGTGAGGTTAAATGAATGACGCTACTCGGATCTTGTATGCGCGTTTCGGAGAAGCAGCACACATCGATGGCGCGAGATTCTAAAGTCCTAGCTAAGGAAGCCTGTTGTCCTATTCGGCACAGTGTTCGGACGCTAAAAGCTCCTACCTGTAGTTTAGAGCGTGGTTTCAGGAGACCAGGAATAGCGTCCCACGTATTCGAATTGTTTGCCCTAGCGGTGCGATGTGATAAAGAGACGTGAAGAGGGTTAGTCATGGAGATAAGAAAGGTATTAGGAGGTGTAGGAAGGATTTGAAAGTGACCAACTTGGTCTCGTGTGTTGTTACGGGTATGAGGGCTGATGTCACTTCCCGGCTGCCCACACCGTGGAAAGGTATTTCTTGAGGAACCTGAAAAGGAAATTGGATTAGTGTTGGTCTTGACGACCTGGGAGCGTGACCGCAGAGCCCAAGGGACAACCGCTTGAGGCCAGTCGCGCACGGACTTTCTGTGGGAGGTTTTTCATGTTTTAGCTCCGTTCTTCAAAGGGCCTAACCACTGGAGATGAAAATCCGTGAGGTATGACATTTTTAGGGTCGACCTTTTCTAACCCCTTCCTTCCTTCCTCGCGAGAAGGCAGCATCGCTGCAGATACTGGTTGTCCGAGGGAAACATCTTACTGTTGTCACACCCCTCTACAGTCGGCAGTACGACTTCGCCCTCAAACCTTGAGTTGCTGCCTTTAGTCTTATCGTTCTCCAATCGACCTGCCTGACATGGTAGAACCTACAGGAACATATGTTCCAGCCAATATAGCTCGGTTGGGTCATCACAATAGGCAAGCCCGACCACCGCGTCAAGGTAGCAGCTTCGGTCGGGTTGCCAACACTTACTGCCATGCTACTCTTTTAAAAGAAATAATTGAGGTAGTTAACATAATTATAAGTAATAATAAGTTAGGTATAAATGACGATCTCACTTATACAACATGGATTGAAGGATTTCTGTGGTCATGATGAGCACACTAGCGCTGGGATTGATTGTAGCATCACCTGTAAGTAATCCTACTTCCGGGAAAGCTTCGAAGAATTCTCTGTACTTTTGATTGCTAAGTGCTTTAATAGGAGTAGTATAAATTACACGTTGTTTTTCCCGTAACGCTGTTGCGATTGCATATCTAAAATAACGCGATAAATGGATAGTTTGATGACAATATAGAAAAACTAAGAAAAATCTTGGTCAAATGTTTAAGGATTATGAACCTTTTATTCCATCACAATGTACCTCCGTCAAAACATTTCACAGAATGGTACAGCTGGAGAATACTGTTTAACTTAGTAGCGAGTTTGAAACAGTGAAGTGGTAATATTATGAGCTCAGTCTGATTACAACGTTTTTGTAAATACCTTTCAATAATCCAATGGAGTTTGAAGAAACATTTTCCTAACAAATAATTCCCGAGGAATATCCTGTCCAATAACTCACTGAAATTACAAAGATTATTGGCGTTTAATACACGTATGAATAATTTGTATCTTCAACTTTAATGACAATGAACGACACTGCTTTCTATCCTTATCTCCTCTGCCCGTCGACAGAAAACTGAAGTTCAAGATTGTCTAGAAGCTTTATTTATAGATCTAAAAAGATTAATTCACATTTGAATACAATTCAATATACAGAGATTACAATCAGTAATCATTATTTAAAGAAATTATCAAAATGAACAACCATAACACAGAATTAGTACAATTAAGTATTATACTGAGCAGAAGTCAAACAAAGGAAAAAACGTTTGCATTAATTGACATTAATCTTATACTGGGCAAAAAAGATATACTGAAGTAATCTAAAAGTCTAATAAACAGAAATCATACTGAGTTAAATTGAAAGCCAAGTAAATGGACAAAACATCTAAATTAATATATAGTCTTTCACAATTTCTTCTAACCAGACTATATTTGAGGATTTAAAACCCTCAAGTGACAGTAATCCCGGACCAGCAGAAGTGTGCAGATAATTATTAATTTATCTACGACCTGGTCTTTTCACAATCTGCATAACTTTCGCAGTACGAGTCAAAATTTCGGAAATATCTAATAGTGCAATTATACTCTGATGGTTGGCACAATTTCACAGTTTCTAATTACTTACCTTTACCTGCGTGTTTAATCTTACAAACTCCATGGGATTTGGTAAGCTAAATTATTCTACCTGATGAAATTAGATGACTGGATGATAAAACTGATTGCTGATTGGCTATGAATGCTCAATATGTTCTTATTACTGTTAATGTTAGTGGATCTGTTAGTAACCATGAGATTTACGGACTAGAAGCACAACAAATTCACGTAAACACTATGAAGTATTAATACTTATTTCTAGTTACTTTTTTATTTTTAGTCTACCAACTTACTGATTCACATTCGATCTAGACGTATGAACACGTACCCACTTATATAAGGTCGAATGGGTTAGGTTTTCCTCAAGCACTAGTTCCTTGATGGCCTTATCTTCATTTGGTTTTTCAGCTCAATCTAGATTTTCAGTTAGTTCCGAATACAGTAATAGACATACAACAATAAAGCTTCTGCACCTGCTTCACATAGGCGGACTAAGCGAAACTGAAAAAAAAACGACTAAAAGCATGAAGACCGAGTCTAGGTGTTGAATAACTACCTTGAAATGAGTATGAATTGTGTTCGAAATATTATCCAGTAAAAGATATTACTTCATTATGAAGTATAAATAAATAAATAAACCAACACGATTAACACTAACCCAATGCCTAAGTTTCATACATATTACGAGCACTTGGATTAGATTTTTTTAGTTGTAGAGACAATTTACGAATAACTTGATGAATAATTAACTTATGCGGAAATCAAACTTTTTTATATGAGTTGATATTAGTCTCAAAACCCAATAAGATAACACATGAAAACCAAAAGCGTATATATTTAATAACACGAATACTTGCACAAATTACTCAAAGGCTGACTACTCGAAAATTTTGAGGTCTAACTTGAAATGTAGTCTTGGTAAAATACGTTTTAGGATTCGAGAACTGGATCATTTTTTGGTAATTCCGCGATTAAATAAACAATAATTTACTGAAAACTCTAGACAGACTTTTAAGATATAGTGGTGAATCACGTGGGATGTATAAATCCACATTATATATACCAATAAAGTAAAATCGTTAGTATAAAACTTACTCAGCCACAACAGTTTTACCAGCTGACGTATGAGCCGATAATAGTACTGACTGATTATTGTCAATACATATGATTGCTTGTTGCTGGAATGCATCAAGCGTGAAGGGAAACGTTTTCGCTGGAAATCCACAATCCTTAATAATTGGCTTGTATTCAATATCAGGAGGAACAGCCACCTTTAGAGAAAAAACATACGGCACAAGATAAAAACTACCTCGTGTGTACATGTTTCAGGTGAACTGATTTTATGTATTTGTATTCTGGGAGCATTAAATTCTAAAGTATCACCAACAGACAGTTTTGAACGTTTGGGAGAATCATCTGCAGAATCTCCCTCTACTTCTTTTAATAAGGGTTTGAGTGAAGCTTCTGCTCTGAAGATAAAAAAGTGCTTAACATTAAGTATAATAGCAACATTACAAACGTAATTACTGTGAAAATAACAGAAAACCTTGGGTAAATATCTCTGAGATTTGACACCAACGTGAAAGAATTATAGATAAGTCATATTTTTGTTTGCTTTTTAGTCAAACAATCGAACGGACTGACTTAACGAATTTGCTGTTAAATGAAACAAGTTATCTTGGGTTGAAAGGTAGCCAATCTTACAAATGTCATTAAAGCAACACTTACAGAAAGCAATAGCCTCTTGCATCACACGCCAAGGAATGGTGAAGGTTAAAAATGATAGGAACTGAGTGAGTTAAGCGTTTTAAATGATAAAACTATGTTTGGAATTAAACTTTGGGTTATTAAGCCATGCTTTAAAAAATATAGTTTGAACACACATATAATATAAGCATTTCTATGACAAACATGGTCAAAACTCTAATGCTCCCGGTTACTACATTGTAATCGAAATTTGTTCTCTTAATTATGGCATATATATAAAGGAGCATAGTCAAAGTAAACGAGGTGCTTACGAAGTAGCGTTTTCAAACTTACTTGTGACGAATATCTTCTATGTCAAACATGGCCAAGAAAATTGGCAATAAAATGCCAACCGACCTTAATGCAATGGATGTTGGTAATTTCGTGAACTACGCAAGTAGAAGCAACAAAGGGTTTGGTGATATTCTAAGTCGATCTTAGATGTCAGAAAAGATCACAACGAATACAAATTACGTGAAAAATACGGGAGAAATGTTATAGAAACCATGAGATAAAAATTATAAACATATATCAGAGAGAAGACAAAAGATATAGCATAATAAGGCGTTTTAAGCTTAAAATCGGGCAAACGGTGGGTAGATTTTCAACACCGTAACCTCACCAGTTCAATTAATTATCTAAGGAATGATGTGGTCTTTAGTCATTAAATCTACAGTACCCAAATATGTAGAACGCTAGCCAAGTTTTACAAATCGGTAAAACCAGAAATGTCACAGTTCGAAGTCGACAGTAATATACCGTATTACTTTATAATTAACTTCTAGTGAGGCACTCATCACAACAATTATAAGTATATTAAAGAGGAAGAATATATTTGTAAAATCTCAGCGTAAGAATTTGAAGAAAATCCAACGTTTCGCCTGGCGATTGGTCCAAGCTTTTTCAAGGAAAATATAAACAAACATCAAAATGCCCTGGTACGGCCGAGAGTGGGGAGAGTCCGCTCTCTCTCTCGAAATGCTCTCACATGGCCACGCGTATATAGCCTCTGCCAGGGAAGTCCTACTCACTGCATTCTCGTGGCGAGGATGTTGTTTACGAAAATGAGAGGACGAAAAGCGAATGTCCGGTGCTTTAACCGGATTCCAAATCAATGGTGCACATGGGCTCCAGTATCTTGCGGGAACAAATGGCGTATGAACCAATTGTTGGTCACCGGCTTCCATGGGACTGCATCTCCTTACGATGCTCCATTGCCTTGTGGATCTGACCCTCAGGTCGAAGGCTCCGGGTGTGGTCCCCTAAGAAAACCACCTGTTTCGGTTTGGGCACCCGGGCAGTATCACAACCCTCACACATATCGAATGAGATTTGTGTGGCGCATATGTATTTGGTTCCTCTTGCACCAATATCTATGTGTTGAAATAAATAAATAAACATGATTCTCTGGTTTACTGTATACTGAATAAGTCATGCAATCAACGTTAACAATGTTTAAAGTAGGTATTTACATTAGTAAGAGATATATGGTGTGAAACAAAAAGTGTTAAGATAACAGATTGTGTGTATACATAAGTGATGTGAAAAAAAATTTCATTCACTATATATTGTCTTCGATCAGTAGAATATTAGGAAAACACATAATATATGGCATGAAACAAAAATGTCACAGCATACATAAAATGAAGATAAATAAACAAGATAAGAAACTGAATTCAGAGAGGAATGTATTTGTAATTGAAAGTTTGTGTTATTTTAATGTTCCTGTCAATTGTTTAATATATTCAGATAACTGATTTGAACCGTTGAATGTATTATCTATTGATTAGTTAATATGATATTGATAGCTAGAATGGAATAAGGAGTTCAGGTTTACTTATTAACTATTAGCTGCCATGGGACAGCTAGTTGTATTCCATCTCTTCTATTAACACTGTTTGGATTAGCCCATATACGTAGGACTTCGGCTGTTAGTCGTTCTTTGTAATATTTTAGAAATACATTCTCCCTCTTTAATGTCTCACATTAACTTGGCGCCCAAATATTGTGAAACTATTCGCTCAAATTTAGACGAAAGTTCTTATTAATTATAAGTATAGTTACAACCACGACAAAATATAATCTTAAAATAAAGCTTTCCTTGCTAATAGCATTAACACCACACAGCTGATTTTATTTTCATAGGTATGGGAAAACAAAACTTAAGACGTATTCATTAGGATCCAAGTAACCATGCAATAGAGGTCCTTAATTGAGCAATCTAAAAAAACAGTGGTATTTTTCCTCGCTACGTCAAGTTTATGCTGTAGATTATTTATTGTACACCGAGACCACTGTTTCCACTTTATTTGAATTTATTTCAGTTACAGTAACACCAAGAGTTTTGTTTTTTAGAGAATTTTTTGCATCTATACTCTTATTGAGTACAATATATTTTTGTGCATAATACTTTTCGAACCTAACAGTTCGTGACTCGCTCTTTACCCAACTTTTTTGATTCTCAGTTTTTGCATCAGAGTGTTTCTTGCCTAATTTATCTGAAAAGATTTGATTGTTGACTAGTGTCAAAAAAGTCAGTTGTCGATGGCCAGGTTGTCGAAACACGGTGGATGGTGGTACACAGTGTGATGAGTGAAAAGAGTGGTACCACGAAATCTGCACAAATCTAAAACCTGTAGCTTTAGAAAGGTTTAGTAAACCCGGGTCTGTGTGATTGTGCTATCAGTACTGCTCGAACGCAGAGCTTGCAATCAGAAACCGTTGCAATTGTGAATGTTGCACGTTGACGAACGCAACCGAGAAGAGTCTGATGATTCTTGCAGTATCAATATACAAATCGATGTGCAATCATCTCAAGTGGCCTTAAAATAGACTGATATATGTGGGCAGAAAAAAGGATCAAACCCAAAGAGGTATGTATTTATTTATTTATTTTATTTTAACACATAGATATTGGTGCAAGAGGAACCAAATACATATGCGCCACACAAATCTCATTCGATATGTGTGAGGGTTGTGATACTGCCCGGGTGCCCAAACCGAAACAGGTGGTTTTCTTAGGGGACCACACCCGGAGCCTTCGACCTAAGGGTCTGATCCACAAGGCAGTGGAGCATCGTAAGGAGATGCAGTCCCATGGAAGCCGGTGACCAACATTTGGTTCATTCGTCATTCGTTCCCGCAGGATACTGGAGCCCATGTGCACCATTGATTTGGAATCCGGTTAAAGCACCGGACATTCGCTTTTCGTCCTCTCATTTTCGTAAACAACATCCTCGCCACGAGAATGCAGTGAGTAGGACTTCCCTGGCAGAGGCTATATACGCGTGGCCATGTGAGAGCATTTCGAGAGAGAGAGCGGACTCTCCCCACTCTCGGCCGTACCAGGGCATTTGCGGGCAAAGAGGTCTGTTAGAAATAACAACTTAACGAAGGTTTCTTTTGTGTCTTGCACTCTAAACAGCAAAAGTCAGGAAAAGCGCAGCAAACCCCGTCGTAAGGTTAGGTCTGTTTTTAGGAGGAAAAACAGCATAAGCCATAACCTGATCACCCAATATGACAATTATTTTAGGTTTCGCAAGGTATGTGATACAACTGCAATTGCAACTCCACTGAGAAGTGATAAACGGATACGATGTAAGAATGAGAAACGACCTGTTATAAAATAAAGGTGGCTTCCTTAATCATAGTTAAGATGTCAAAGTTTGATCATAGTAATATGTTAGTTACCTTTTATAGAGTAAGGTAAAATGAGATAATTGAGCCCAAAACTCGCTCTGGCCTTGATATAAGGTTGATAAAATGTCTGGTTAGCTAGCTAATGCCTCAAAATATCTCTGGGGTCAACTTGCTAGAAATTCATAGACTAGGTAGCCAGATTGAATTAAAAGAAAACCAAACCAGGTGATGAAAGTGGTATTTAAATCCTTCGAATGTATGGGACTTAATACTACAGAATGGAAATAAGCAAAAGAGACCAGTTTTTGTATGTAAAGACTTGTTGCTACCTGACCATATGGAAAATTGAGAGGCTGAGAAAGAACTAAAACCAAGATATGGTGTACGTGAAAATGACCAAAAAATTGAATCTCGAATAAGGCCCTGACAGAGAATGATCCCGAGGTCACTTTGGTTGCAGCAGGAAACCATTTAAATGGTCTTCAGATCTGCTACACAAATGCTCGGAACTTGTTCAACAAGCGATCGGACCTAAGTACACAGATAGATTCTACCAGACCAGATATAATCAATGTGACAAAAAAAACCACTCAGCCAATCTGAGGGCGTGTGGCGCATATATATTTGGCGCACTCTTGTACCAATATGTATATGTTCAAATAAAAATAACTAAATAAAGATCTGAGGGCAGTGAGGAAATTAATTTCGGATATTTCACATTGGTAAGAGCCGAGAGAACCCAGAAGCTTGAAGGAGGAAGAGTAGCTTTATCCATTGGAAATACTATCCCGTTACCGTTATTGATAACATCCCATGAAAGTGAAATATGTGAAACAGCTTGAGGTATTCGGGAATCTGTTAGTGCACTGCACATTCCTTGGATCACACTGAATAATTAGAACTACACAGAAAGGAGGCTCGCAACTTCATCCGTAAGAGGGAAAGAATGTGGGAGAGATTCAGGTTATTGTTACTGTTGAGATGAAATCTGCTTCGGTTTGGGCACCCGAGCAGTATCACAGCCCTCACACAAATCTCATTTGATTTGTGTGGCGCATATATATTTGGTGCCTCCTTGCACCAATATCTATGTGTTCAAATAATAATAATAATAATAATAATAATAATAATAATAATAATAATAATAATAATAATAATAATCAACATCGGGAAGCTCGAAACATTTGTGTCTCGACTCTATGCAAGTCTAAAAACTAAAGAAAAGCTCGTTAAGGAGATTACATAGTACTCTAAACGCTTATAATCGTACATAAACCAAAAGACAGAGAAGAGACATCCTAGAAGTGCGACATCACTAGTGCAGGACGATTGCAGTAATGCTTGGGCATTCTCAAATAACTTTAACAGTGTATATACCGAAGAGATACTCTCTCCTCCAGTTTATACAAAACCCCGTGCATACTTTGGACACAATGACCATCAGACAACTCGATATTTTTGGTCTGATAAATAAGCCTGATACAGGCAAATTTATGGAATAAATCCAAAGGGATTAGTGAATTTTATCGCAAATTCCTTAAGCATATATTTTAATTTATCTGCAACCCAAGGTAGACTACTAAATGATTGAACGTACGCTACAGTAAGTCCTGTATTAAAAACAGGTACAAGACACAAACCTGAGAACTATCGACCCATAAGGCCAACCAGAGCGGTTGTTAAGATTTTATGAAAAGCTATTCGGAAGTTGTTTAAATATCTAGACGAAAACCTGGTTCTTTCTGAAAAACGGTACGGTTTTATAGCAGCTTATTCATGACTCATAAACTTATTAGTAGATCGTCAAACTTGATGTGCTCTTGAAGATCAAAAGCTACCGACAGATACAAACTTCTGGGTTCTATCGGCTCTTACCAATGTGAAATTTTCAAAATTAATTGACCTCAGTAAGGTTTTTGACAATTTTCTGGACAACAGTGCCCTGGTACGGCCGAAAGTAGAGAGAGTCCGCTCTCCCTCTCGAAATGCTCTCACATGGCCACGCGTATATAGCCTCTGCCAGGGAAGTCCTACTCACTGCATTCCCGTGGCGAGGATGTTGTTTACGAAAATGAGAGGACGAAAAGCGAATGTCCGGTGCTTTAACTGGACCCCAAACCAACGGTGCATATGGGCCAAGGTATCCTGCGGGAACGAATGGCGTATGAACCAATTGTTGGTCACCGGCTTTCATGGGACTGCATCTCCTTACGATGCTCCACTGCCTTGTGGATCAGACCCTCAGGTCGAAGGCTTCAGGTGTGGTCCCCTAAGAAAACCACTTGTTTCGGTTTGGGCACCCGGGCAGTAACACAACCCTCACACATATCGAATGAGATTTGTGTGGCGCATATGTATTTGGTGTCTCTTGCTCCAATATCTGTGTTAAAATAAAATAAATGAATAAAGATATCGGGATTGGAGGTAACTTAATTATGTAGATATAGTACTTCCTAGTGTCGTGTCAACAAAGAGTACAAGTTGACTCCAAGCTGTCTAGCTGAGAAACTGTGCTTAGAGAAGTTCCCCAGTGCACCGTTTTTGGACCAGTATTATCCCTCCGGTATGTGAATGAACTTCTTAGTCTCCTTACAATAGTAACGTTGTTGTATGCTGACGATATCAGTCAGTCATCTACAACGTAGGACAGGGCACATATATGCATCGTTCCAAGTTGCTATACTTCATTGACTCAACAGTATGATCACCAAATTCATAGAAGTAGTTACTTCAATGGTAGTAATATATAAAAAATTGCGTATAAGGATATAATACAGGAATAAAGAATTAGTTCGTTGAAATAAAGGTATTAAGTAATTTTAACCTTAAGGTTTAAGGGAAGACAAACAGTGCATACAACTACACCATTGTGATTGAGTTTGAGCCATGTCATCCAGTCTCCAACCACTGGTTACGATCGTCAGGCGGACCCCAACCAAGAAGTCTGAATCTACCAACATGATCGAGACTAGGAGTTAGTGACTCCAAGAAATGATGCCACGTTTGGCTTTGGCCACCTCTAACTTTCTTCCAAACGTCTTCAACACTAGTCAACATTGTACGTCGTGGCAACTGGTGTTTGGGTATGCGTGATACTTGGCCCAATCATCTCAGTCGATGTAGGTTCGCAACCTCACCAACTGATTTACCATCATTCCCTAATACCCTGCGTCTAACCTCACTACTACTTACCCGATGATCCCAGAAGATGCGAGCAACATTTCTATGACATCTGTGGTCAAATACTAGTAACTTACGAGTGTCCTCTATCCTCAGTGTCCACGTTTCGCTGCCGTGAAGTAGAACAAAACGAACTGCCACACAGTATACTCGTCTCTTAATTGGTAGACAGATATCTCGCCTTCGCCATAGGTGACGTAAGTTGGTAAGAGCCAAACGAGCCTTCTGAATCCATGCTGAGATTTCGTCAGATACCAGCCCACTAGGGCTGATCAGACTTCCAAGATAACTGAAGTTGTCGGCTCGTAGTCTACTTTACTCCCTATCCTGAGTTCAGATGTTGGGGCAGGCCAACCCTGGAGCAACAGTTTGCATTTAGAGGGGGAGAAACGCATTCCAAACATTCCTAGCATTGTTGCTTAGTGCTACCAAAATGCTTTGCATTTTAGCGTCTTCACCAAACAGGACTATTTCATCTGCCCCAAATGCCCTGGTACGGCCAAAAGTGGGTAGAGTCAGCCCTCCCTCTCCAAATGCTCTCACATGGCCACGCGTATATAGCCTTTGCCAGGGAAGTTCTACTCATTGCTTTCTCGTGGATTAAGTGTTGTTTACGAACTTGAAAGGACGAAAAGCGAATGTCCAGTGCTTTAACCGGGTTAGTGGATATGGAGAGTTCACCTAGGGGAATCAGGAAATTCTCATTCCAAACCAATGATGCACATGGACTGGCTTCGGTATCCTGAAATAACAAACGGCGTATGAACCAATTGTTGGTCACCGGCTTTCATGGGACTGCATCTCCTTACGATGCTCCACTGCCTTGTGGATCAGACCTTCAGGTCGAAGGCTCCGGGTGTGGTCCCCTAAGAAAACCACCTGTTTCGGTTTGGGCACCCGGGCAGTATCACAACCCTCACACATATCGAATGAGATTTGTGTGGCGCATATGTATTTGGTGCCTCTTTTTTTACCAAGATATGGTGAGTTAAAAAAGTCGATGATATTTTGAAGCCTTCAAATGACCTGTAAAAATTATCTGAATGGTCCGGATGGTCTATTATGATGTGTAGTGGTCGCCAAGGCACAGATGCACGGTGAACAATATTGAGCTGCCTGTTGTACGAACAATGATCTAATCAATACCTAAATATTGCACACTCCCGTGCGACAGCAGCCAAAGGTTCTAGAAACCTCTAGTTAGTACGTAAAGTCTTCAGCCATGTAGAGGCTAAGGCTTTTCTGATTTAGTGGTGTTTGTTTATCGTAAACTCCAGTATTGGGTACAACCAGACAACCCGAGTCTAAAAGAAGACAGTAAGCTGATGAGAAAGGTCCAAAAAACAACGATCAAGTTGATTCGTGGGTTCACAAATCTGTCGTTTGACGAAACTGACTAAAGTATGCTTGTTTATCGTGTCATGTAAAAGGTTCAGAGATGACCTGGGTACACTATCTAGATTTCTTAAGGACAAATTTACATTTGATACCCTCACCTGTTAGTCTTCGAAAACAGAATTTATGAGGACACTACGAAAATGTCTATAAGCCCTAAACAAATTACGGCGAGACTATAATGTATGAATGAACCGATCAATCTTGAGTTTTGGCGGGAAATCAGCTTATTCATTTGGCTAAAATGTTTTGACATTATAGCTAATATCACTTTGTGATGAAAACCATACAGTTAATTCCTAGCCCAAACTATCAACCGAAAATATTAATCATGACTACTCACAGTGGTTTCTAACTCTCGTTTAGCCGTACTACGTAGGTGGACATTCTCAACCCGACCTCCCTATTTTGGGGAAAATTTGAACCGTTTTGGAGGAATTTTAGGGAAGCCGCTATAGAAACTTTTGGGGAAATGGCATAGAGACCTCAAAATTTCCCTTTAACCTTGGTCAAGGCCATTTGACTTTGGGGATTTTTCTAAACTTTGGTGAGTCATTTGACTTTGGAGGTTCCCCCAAAATTTACTCGAAATTTCCTTAAGTTTCCCTAAACTTGGGAGATTGAGGTCTTTATAGCGTCTTCCATAAATTATGGTCTCTCAAAAACACTACTACCGAGACTAATACAGGCATTCAGCCTCCTGCCCATCCAAAATGAAACAAACTGCAGATTGACGGTGAGCAGCCACTAGGCGTAAATAACAGCGTACAGTACGCCGTACTTGCAGATTTGTGCTGAACACGATACAACATTAAAACTTGGAGATAATGGAAAATTCTGAAGAATCTGCCATATAATGGGTCCAGAACTCGATAAACCTATTTCAGGTCTAAGGATAAAAACCTAAAGTTGCATATACATGAAGTAGATATTTCAGGTGTTTAGGTACTGGACCATCTAGGTAATACCTCACTAACATGGGTAGAATAGTCTTATAGATGAACCATTGTGAATGCTTCTTTTCGAGGAACACCTTCCAGAATATATTAAACTTACTTTCGCTTTTTTTCTTCGAAGTCACCAGGCTGTGTAGAACCGGTATCTACCAGAGTCTCAGAAGATGGTTTTTTAGGATCGAAAGCTGACGTCAATTCGTCCAGATCTAAGCCAAAAGCAGACATGATATTTAAAGTCCCTCCCTCATAAGACCCTTGACATTCAATATCCAACATCCTTATGAGTCTTCAGTAATAAGGATAGGAGGTCTGTCGACCTATATTAATCCTTGCAGTTTGTAATACAGTGGAGGTCCAATCTCGTTTTGAATATATTAACAGATGGTGCTGATATTACGTGTTCCGGTAGAGAATTTCAGTAATTCACTACTAGGTGCGAGAAACGGAACTCCAGACGTAAACGGTTTGATCTCGGTTTTTGAACTTTCTTCGAATGTCCTCTCAAATGATCGGTTCTAGACGGGAGCAAAAGATAAGACATGTTAATACCAAGGTCATCGTTCAGTATACGATAGGCCAATATTAGATCACCCCTTATTCTACGGTAAGATAACGGAAATAAGTTAAGGTGTCTCAGTCTGTCTTCATAAGATAGGCCAGATAGACCTTGTACCATCTTAGTAGCTCGTCGTTGGTCTCTTTCTAGCATATCTGCTTCATATTTGAAACAAGGACACGCTGCTTGAATCCCGTATTCTAAATGTGGTCGCACATAAATCGGGTATAGTAATCTAAACATTTCATCATCTAAATACTGAAAAGACCTACGAATTGACCATAATACCATATAGCCTTTCGCAGCAGCAGCCTTACAGTGACTAGTCGTTTTGAGATCATTGCTTAATATGACTCCTAAATCTTTATAGTTTCTTACTTTTGGTAGCACGAATCCACGTAGTGTATAGTCATACGATTCATCAGAGTTATTTAACTGCATCACTACACTCTTATTAGGATTTACTTCTAGTGACCATCTATCTAACCATGCCACTAATGAGCTAAGATCGTCCTGTAATACTATCCTATCCGACATACTATGTATGGGTCTCCAAATCTTTATGTCATCAGCGAAGAGTAGAACGGATGATTTTGCTACAGTTGGCAATTCATTTACATAAAGTAAAAAGAGAAGAGGACCCAGGATTGTACCTTGGGGAACCTTACTTTTTACAGGTACCCACGAGGAGAGAGTCCCATTAACCCTTACCCTTTGTCTCCTGTCATGGAGAAAGTTACTTATCCAATCGACGACTGTATAATGGATTCCAAAACGTTTCAGTTTGAATTTAAGACCAGAGTGGGAAACCTTATCAAAGGCTTTACTTAGATCTATGAAAATCACATCCACAGGAGCATTCCGATCCTTTGCCGCAGCCCAATCTTCTCGTGCAATGAGAAGATTTGTCGAGCAAGATAGGCCTTTCCGAAAACCATGTTGTTCCCTGGAAAAAAGATTTTGCCCTTCAACATAGTTTATAACAGCTATCCGAATGATTTTCTCCATCAGTTTTACAACTGCACTAGTTAAGCTAACGGGTCTATAGTTACCAACTAAATCCCTACCCCCAGCCTTATACACCCGACTTATTATGGCGTCTTTCCAGTCTCTAGGCAGTTTGGACTGTCTCAGAGACATGTCGAATAGTATCGCTAATGGTTCAGCAATTACATCTGATATGGCTTTCATAATCCTAGGATGAATATCGTCAGGACCACTGGACTTATCAGGTTTGAGATGCTGGAGTAGCCTTAAAACAGTATCTTTCTCAATGACTACAGGATCCATCAGCGAGCCGTCACGGTCGCAACGAATCATTGGTCGTTCCTCATTACCGATAGAAAACACTTTACTAAAGTATTCCGATAAAGCTTCAGCTTTTTCGGCATCATTGTCTGCTAAGATTAACGGATTTTCTCGTATCAAAAGTGATGGAATTCCATCACTTCTCTTAGTTCGCCTTTTTATATACGAGAATAACCGTATCGGACTATATCTAGAATCCCTAACCAATTGTTTTTCGTATGATAGTCTAGTCTTACTTATTAACGCTTTACAGGCATTCCTAATCTTACAATAACTGGATCTGTATTGTTCTAAGCCAGTAGAGATGAATATATCCCAGTGATTCTTCCTTTTTCTAAGGAGTTTCCTGACCGTTTTAGTTATCCATGGTGGACTATTATTCAGTCTTCGCGGTACCAGGTATGGTATGAACGGGGACGTAATGAGTCTAAATTTACCTTTAAATACAGACCATGCTTCTTCAACTGATATGCTAGTATCTACTAACCAATTTGTCTTAGCAGCACATTCCTGAATGGCTGATATGTTAGCTTTCCATACATTTGGGCGAGGTGTAACCTGATCGTATAACATGTCCCTAGTACGAAACGTGAATGACAAAACAGCGTGGTCGCTGTTCACTAACGGCGGGAGAATATTGAAGTCGACAATATCCTCAGTCTCATGAGTGATTACCAAATCCAGCAGAGAAGAACCCTGGTTAACACCAAAACGTGTGGGTTGGGATACATGCTGTACTAGTGCATGCTCCATTATTGTTATCAGGAACTTACTATCAAAGGAGTTTATAGATCCTGCTGTGGTCATATCAGTCCAACTAATATCAGGTGCGTTAAAGTTTCCTGTTATCAAACATCTGGTATTTTCACTCCAAAGATGAATGTGCTCTAAAACAAAGTCATCAGCTAGGCAGATTGGGCTGCGATAGATGACACCGAGCATAAATGTACTACATCCGATAGCCAACTTACAGCTAATGACTTCACAAGTACCGCTATCATGGGAATCGCTAGTAGAGGAGCGGATATTTATGCTATTAGCTATGTATAACAGGACGCCGCCTCCTTTCCTACATCTATGTCTGTCACTCCTGATGCAGTGATATCCGGATAATTCTGGAGTAATGTCTAAGTCATCGACTAACCAAGTTTCTGTCACTGCTACTATGAAAGGCTTTACCCTGTCCACTAGTGCTTCTACTTCATAGAACTTATTTCGTAGACTACGAGCGTTGGCATATAAAACTCCTAAGTAGAACAGCCTATCCACACAGGCCTTGGTAGCATTCGTTTCCAAGACCTGACTATCCGAAAACCCACTAACCGGAGATTTTCCTCGCCGTTTTGCCGACGGGTTTCAAGTTCAGCTAGTGCTTTCTTCCTTTTTATTCTATATTCGAGAGATATGTCAGGTCTAACTCGGATGTCATAATTGTCGTGACAACGAGCGCTATTTAACAAGAGATCCCGTTGCTTCTCCGATCCTAGGATTACCTTGAGGAGTCTGCATGGACGGGGTTCAACATTGTCCTCGGTCCTCTTGCCTATTCTTACTAACTTTTTAACCTGAACTCCTTTGGAGTTATCTGGTAAAATACTACGAATGTATTCTCCTAGTTTTTCTAAGTCATGCGCGTGTCTAATTTTCGGATCAGGGTCATTTGACTCACGCAAATTGCTCACCATAATATTCGATGTTATTAAAATTTTCTTCTCAGTTACGCCAGGATGGGTTTCACTCTTACGATCAGATCTTGGTAGTGCAACTTGTGGCTCACAATTTGAGTCCACCATTGAGTTACTAACTACCTGTATACTGCATACAGCTTTTTTCTTTTCACTTCGTTTTCTACGTACCGTAGTCCATTTTTCATCCCTAGTAACACTGGGACTATTTGGAACGGTGACTGTTTCATCCAGATCGTCGGTTCCCACTAAAGGTGCATGATTAACAATGTCAGTACTAGGTGGTACTACTCCCCCTGTTAATATCAACGGAGATTTCACTTTTGCGTCGTTCAGAGTCGGTTTTTTGAGGCGTTGCGTAACAACACTGACACATTCGTCACCGTCAGTGCCCGTGTTGTCGGCACATATGCCATCATTCTTCTTACAGGCCAAAGCCAATAGGCTCATAGCCTCCTGTATTAGCAATGCCTTGTTGGCACAGCAAAACATGCAAAGCCAATGTGAGTTAGGCTTCGAACATCTTTTATATGCAGTGGGACTTAAACGGGTGCACATTTTATGGAACCATTTATTGCATTCGTCACACTGCATTCCCTCCTCCACAGGGAACAAGCAGTTTGGTTGTCCACATTTGTGGGTACTACCAACCATTTTAGTATGATCAAGGTGTAACACACAATATGATCACAATATGAACCACAAGACAACTCTAGCAAGATGTCAAACCTTAACTAAAGTACCTTGATAACGACCAAGAATGCTTCCGAGTGTAGTAAATACACAAAAGCCTAAAAAACTCAGTAAAATATCACCTTAACTGGAGTAGATTCAATTAAAGTGTAAATCTTAGTATTGATACGTAATTTACGATCAAAACAGTTTACTAATTTAACGAGAAACAATACCACTGTCCTTTTTAGATAGCGCGGAGGATGTTATTTTAAACGATTGACGTTTTCAGCCCGCTTTGTGCTATTTTTATATAGTTTCAGGTTTTCAGTGATGTCCAAAAAGTGTATCTTAGCCACTTTACTATTCAATTTTCATCTTTTTGGTCGTTATTTCTGGGTGTGTAGATCTTGTAATCTGAGTGAACTTGTCCCAGAGCAGTAAGGTTTCTGGGATACGTGATTATCACATAATCGGAACGAAAATTGTTTAAGCGCAGTGTTAAAGCAATAGAAGTAAAATTTACATGTTAACAGATGATTGTTTCGGAAATTAAATAAACAATTAATTTGGGTATTTAGAAATACAAATGATGTGAGTAGTCTGAAGTATAGGAATAAAAAGGGCAACATAGTTAATAATAATAAGTGAAATAGAAATATGATATGTGATAATTACAATGGCACATAAGTTACGAGATCTGTATTAAGCACAGCTAGCCCAAGGCGAAGGTGGTAGTCCGTGTTTCTGTAGAATTATGGTGTACTATGATATTAGTACTGCTCTAATGATAGACCTAATCCTAAAATTGTGTACTTGTCATGATATAACTGCCTAATCTATAAGATTTTACGTAGAAGTCATACCATCGTCTACACCAACTCATTGCATCGTAACAATTACCAATACATGATGGAGAACAAGCTTAGGCTAGAGATAGAACAATATGTTTAATATGAATAAAAGATATAAGATAACATTCAACAAGGACCACGCCTGCAAGGCCGAGGCATGCCATTCGATCAACTACCATTAATTCAACTCCTTGTTCCCGCCTTCTCCATCGTTAGGTATTTCACCGCGTTAATTATTGAATATCTATTTTCCGAGTAGTCTCGTGTTCAGCTTTGAGGATTGTGTGGTAATAGTGAAAAACCTCCGGGTATTGATAAGCTGAAAGATAAATCAAAATGTCTGGTTTAATTCCCATCTTGCTTAAAATGAAAATTTAGGTAAGGATTATTTGAGCTAAACAAAATTGGGTTATAATAATAATAAAATGACTGCGTATAATTATATTTTAATAAGTCGTCATAAGATGCGTGTTAATAAATTAACTAATAGGTAGTACATATTTTGTGTTCAGATATATTAAAAACAATCAATATTGCAGAAATGTTAATATTCGTACTAATTTTGGTTTTAGTAAGGAAATCAAATGACGTTTATGCCCGTAAGTTGTCCATATGAGTTGATTTCCCATTGCATCTATATTAGTAGGCTAACTGAAGGAACAAAAGTATAACCGTGGAAAAGAATTCCAACTAGTGTTCCAGTTAGTTTGATACGGTTTTTTTAGTTACGAGGAGATTTTCTCAACTGCATTTTTACTTGACCGTGATAGAATTTAGTAATACTGCTAATACATATGAATGGTTTTCAAAACATTACGTGAAAGTGATAATTATGTGAATTTTGAACAAATCGTTAAACATGAGTGTATTCGTAAGAGATATGCTCTAGACTCAATGTTCTGATTCGCCATAGACTATTTATTTATATTCATACCTACCGGCTGATGGTACATACAAGTTAGCTGCAAGTATGCAGTTTAGTATAAGACGGAATACGATTTCATTGGCATATAGTGACTATAATTTACTGAAAACAGTTAAGCTTATGTGCTACATTTCTCGGTGATGTGTTGCTGCAGGATGTATTTGGCTAAATAAGTTCAAATGATTCAAATGGTTGTGGACGGAATAGAAGAAGCTTTCGCCTAACAGGTTTCCGTGTCTAGAAGCAAGAGATCAGAAAAATACCTCCAGGAAGGAACCTATATATATTAACGATAAAAGAGGAGGTTAGGTTTTCCTCAAGCACTAGTTCCTTGATGGCCTTATCTTCATTTGGTTTTCCAGCTCAATCTAGATTTTCAGTTAGTTCCGAATACAGTAATAGACATACAACAATAAAGCTTCTGCACCTGCTTCACATAGGCGGACTAAGCGAAACTGAAAAAAAACGACTAAAAGCATGAAGACCGAGTCTAGGTGTTGAATAACTACCTTGAAATGAGTATGAATTGTGTTCGAAATATTATCCAGTAAAAGATATTACTTCATTATGAAGTATAAATAAATAAATAAACCAACACGATTAACACTAACCCAATGCCTAAGTTTCATACATATTACGAGCACTTGGATTAGATTTTTTTAGTTGTAGAGACAATTTACGAATAACTTGATGAATAATTAACTTATGCGGAAATCAAACTTTTTTATATGAATAGAGCAAGAACAAAGATTGGTGCAGAATAATATGAATTCATTTTATTTCGTTAGGTTCTCATCAGCTGCTTACATCCTAAATTATTTGAAATTCAAATTATTACAGATATTGACATATTTATACATAAGAGTGTGAATAAGGATCAATACATGTGTATGATGATGTAGAAAATATTCAGATAGAGTTAATGAGCTCATAAAATGTTTAATTCGAATAAATAAATAAAGTTAGAGAGGGAAAGTTCTGGAACATTGAAATAGTGATTAGAACTCATGAAAATAGATTAATAGTAATAAAGAAAATATGAATTAAAACCAATCATTTATGTATGATGTAATTTAAACTTCAGAAAGAGTTGGAAGATGGGGAATGACGTAATAAATAAATAAATAGGAGTAAATGAATAGAAAGGGTGGGGATTATTGTTACCAGGGTAAAGAAAGATTTATTACTGTCTCTTTTTGTATGCATAGATCTGGTTTTAAACGTTTGATTGCTATCGCTTCAGCGAATTTCAAAAGGTTAGAGTTTGATTGTTTGTTGATCACCTTGAAGGACTTCAGTATATCAACTTCATGTCCTGTATCAAGGAGATGTCTTGCGATAGCACTGCTGAATGCGTTTAATCCATTTAACCGTAAACTTTTCGGAATATGTTCTTTGAATCGGACGTAGGCTCTCCTTTCTGTTCTACCAATGTAACTGCTTTGGCAGGTACATGTAAATTTGTATACACAATTGGTGGTAACATGAAAGGGATACCTGTCGACCTTTGATTGTGTCAAAGAACATGTTGTTTTAGACAGGACAATCAATTTTGCTGCAGGATAAGTTCTCGTCAGTGCAGTTTTTAGTCTCATATTGATTAATCCTGTGATGTCGTCACCTTTGAATTGAAGTTGAATAAAAATAGGCTTTTTATTTGCTGTAATTTCTTTCGGTTTTTTTATCTTCACATTTGCCGTATTTTTCAATAAATTTCAGTGGGTATCCATTATTCTTTAAACATTTTTTAACATTCATAACTTCCTCTTCTAGTGTATCGGAAGTACAAATTCTTTCTGTTCTGTGAAACAGTGTTTTGACCAGTGCTTTTTTGTAACTGATTGGACAAAAGCTATTGAAATTAAGATAACTACCATTCCATGTGTCTTTCTTATAAACTGAACGTTGAATCGTACCATCTTTTCTTCTTTTCATCGCGATATCGAGAAAATGGAACTTGTTTTCTTTTTCATGTTCCATAGTGAAATGGATATTCGGATGTGCTTTGTTGAAAAACTCTAGCAGATTTATTGCATGTTGTTTATTATTACATACGATGAAGGTATCATCAACATACCTCGAATAATACGTCATTTCATCAATCGCTCGTTTGAGTTTGGTTTTTTCGAGGTTAGCCATGAAAATATCTGCTAGGACAGGACCTAACGGACTTCCCATCGCTACACCGTCAGTTTGTTTGTATTTGATATCGTTGAACTGGAACTGAACATCTTTTGTACAAATGAGTAATAGTCGTTTGAATTCTGGTACTGGTAGAGGTAGGATGTCAGAATGTTGACAAATTATGTCTATGGTTTCAAGAAGTGGTATTTTTGTAAACAAAGATGTTACATCAAAAGAAACCATAAACTTACCAGCAATATTTATGTGATTCATGCTGTCAGCAAATACAAATGAATCCTTTAGTGTGTAGGTGGCTAATCGTTGACGCACTGGTTCTAACTTATCTGCCAACCATCGTGCAACTTTGTGGTATGGTGAATTGATCATTGACAAAATAGGTCTAAGAGGATAACCTTGTTTATGTATTTTCGGTAATCCATACATGTGGGGCAAACGAGACCCACGAGGTCGTAGATTATTGTAAGTATTGTTATCGATCATCTTCTTTTTCAGAAGATCTCTGAGTACTTTGGTGATTCTTTTCTCAATGGAATCAGTTAAGTCTTTGTTACTTTTTTCTAACTTGAATCTCATATGGTCGTTCAAGATGGACTTCATCTTAGAGACATAATCTGTTTTGTCCATTAGAACAACACTTGAGCCTTTGTCTGACCGTAATATCATTATATCGTCATTTCGTTTAATATTTCGTAATGCTATTTGGTGGTCTTTGGATAGAAATTTTTTATATGAGTTGATATTAGTCTCAAAACCCAATAAGATAACACATGAAAACCAAAAGCGTATATATTTAATAACACGAATACTTGCACAAATTACTCAAAGGCTGACTACTCGAAAATTTTGAGGTCTAACTTGAAATGTAGTCTTGGTAAAATACGTTTTAGGATTCGAGAACTGGATCATTTTTTGGTAATTCCGCGATTAAATAAACAATAATTTACTGAAAACTCTAGACAGACTTTTAAGATATAGTGGTGAATCACGTGGGATGTATAAATCCACATTATATATACCAATAAAGTAAAATCGTTAGTATAAAACTTACTCAGCCACAACAGTTTTACCAGCTGACGTATGAGCCGATAATAGTACTGACTGATTATTGTCAATACATATGATTGCTTGTTGCTGGAATGCATCAAGCGTGAAGGGAAACGTTTTCGCTGGAAATCCACAATCCTTAATAATTGGCTTGTATTCAATATCAGGAGGAACAGCCACCTTTAGAGAAAAAACATACGGCACAAGATAAAAACTACCTCGTGTGTACATGTTTCAGGTGAACTGATTTTATGTATTTGTATTCTGGGAGCATTAAATTCCAAAGTATCACCAACAGACAGTTTTGAACGTTTGGGAGAATCATCTGCAGAATCTCCCTCTACTTCTTTTAATAAGGGTTTGAGTGAAGCTTCTGCTCTGAAGATAAAAAAGTGCTTAACATTAAGTATAATAGCAACATTACAAACGTAATTACTGTGAAAATAACAGAAAACCTTGGGTAAATATCTCTGAGATTTGACACCAACGTGAAAGAATTATAGATAAGTCATATTTTTGTTTGCTTTTTAGTCAAACAATCGAACGGACTGACTTAACGAATTTGCTGTTAAATGAAACAAGTTATCTTGGGTTGAAAGGTAGCCAATCTTACAAATGTCATTAAAGCAACACTTACAGAAAGCAATAGCCTCTTGCATCACACGCCAAGGAATGGTGAAGGTTAAAAATGATAGGAACTGAGTGAGTTAAGCGTTTTAAATGATAAAACTATGTTTGGAATTAAACTTTGGGTTATTAAGCCATGCTTTAAAAAATATAGTTTGAACACACATATAATATAAGCATTTCTATGACAAACATGGTCAAAACTCTAATGCTCCCGGTTACTACATTGTAATCGAAATTTGTTCTCTTAATTATGGCATATATATAAAGGAGCATAGTCAAAGTAAACGAGGTGCTTACGAAGTAGCGTTTTCAAACTTACTTGTGACGAATATCTTCTATGTCAAACATGGCCAAGAAAATTGGCAATAAAATGCCAACCGACCTTAATGCAATGGATGTTGGTAATTTCGTGAACTACGCAAGTAGAAGCAACAAAGGGTTTGGTGATATTCTAAGTCGATCTTAGATGTCAGAAAAGATCACAACGAATACAAATTACGTGAAAAATACGGGAGAAATGTTATAGAAACCATGAGATAAAAATTATAAACATATATCAGAGAGAAGACAAAAGATATAGCATAATAAGGCGTTTTAAGCTTAAAATCGGGCAAACGGTGGGTAGATTTTCAACACCGTAACCTCACCAGTTCAATTAATTATCTAAGGAATGATGTGGTCTTTAGTCATTAAATCTACAGTACCCAAATATGTAGAACGCTAGCCAAGTTTTACAAATCGGTAAAACCAGAAATGTCACAGTTCGAAGTCGACAGTAATATACCGTATTACTTTATAATTAACTTCTAGTGAGGCACTCATCACAACAATTATAAGTATATTAAAGAGGAAGAATATATTTGTAAAATCTCAGCGTAAGAATTTGAAGAAAATCCAACGTTTCGCCTGGCGATTGGTCCAAGCTTTTTCAAGGAAAATATAAACAAACATCAAAATGCCCTGGTACGGCCGAGAGTGGGGAGAGTCCGCTCTCTCTCTCGAAATGCTCTCACATGGCCACGCGTATATAGCCTCTGCCAGGGAAGTCCTACTCACTGCATTCTCGTGGCGAGGATGTTGTTTACGAAAATGAGAGGACGAAAAGCGAATGTCCGGTGCTTTAACCGGATTCCAAATCAATGGTGCACATGGGCTCCAGTATCTTGCGGGAACAAATGGCGTATGAACCAATTGTTGGTCACCGGCTTCCATGGGACTGCATCTCCTTACGATGCTCCATTGCCTTGTGGATCTGACCCTCAGGTCGAAGGCTCCGGGTGTGGTCCCCTAAGAAAACCACCTGTTTCGGTTTGGGCACCCGGGCAGTATCACAACCCTCACACATATCGAATGAGATTTGTGTGGCGCATATGTATTTGGTTCCTCTTGCACCAATATCTATGTGTTGAAATAAATAAATAAACATGATTCTCTGGTTTACTGTATACTGAATAAGTCATGCAATCAACGTTAACAATGTTTAAAGTAGGTATTTACATTAGTAAGAGATATATGGTGTGAAACAAAAAGTGTTAAGATAACAGATTGTGTGTATACATAAGTGATGTGAAAAAAAATTTCATTCACTATATATTGTCTTCGATCAGTAGAATATTAGGAAAACACATAATATATGGCATGAAACAAAAATGTCACAGCATACATAAAATGAAGATAAATAAACAAGATAAGAAACTGAATTCAGAGAGGAATGTATTTGTAATTGAAAGTTTGTGTTATTTTAATGTTCCTGTCAATTGTTTAATATATTCAGATAACTGATTTGAACCGTTGAATGTATTATCTATTGATTAGTTAATATGATATTGATAGCTAGAATGGAATAAGGAGTTCAGGTTTACTTATTAACTATTAGCTGCCATGGGACAGCTAGTTGTATTCCATCTCTTCTATTAACACTGTTTGGATTAGCCCATATACGTAGGACTTCGGCTGTTAGTCGTTCTTTGTAATATTTTAGAAATACATTCTCCCTCTTTAATGTCTCACATTAACTTGGCGCCCAAATATTGTGAAACTATTCGCTCAAATTTAGACGAAAGTTCTTATTAATTATAAGTATAGTTACAACCACGACAAAATATAATCTTAAAATAAAGCTTTCCTTGCTAATAGCATTAACACCACACAGCTGATTTTATTTTCATAGGTATGGGAAAACAAAACTTAAGACGTATTCATTAGGATCCAAGTAACCATGCAATAGAGGTCCTTAATTGAGCAATCTAAAAAAACAGTGGTATTTTTCCTCGCTACGTCAAGTTTATGCTGTAGATTATTTATTGTACACCGAGACCACTGTTTCCACTTTATTTGAATTTATTTCAGTTACAGTAACACCAAGAGTTTTGTTTTTTAGAGAATTTTTTGCATCTATACTCTTATTGAGTACAATATATTTTTGTGCATAATACTTTTCGAACCTAACAGTTCGTGACTCGCTCTTTACCCAACTTTTTTGATTCTCAGTTTTTGCATCAGAGTGTTTCTTGCCTAATTTATCTGAAAAGATTTGATTGTTGACTAGTGTCAAAAAAGTCAGTTGTCGATGGCCAGGTTGTCGAAACACGGTGGATGGTGGTACACAGTGTGATGAGTGAAAAGAGTGGTACCACGAAATCTGCACAAATCTAAAACCTGTAGCTTTAGAAAGGTTTAGTAAACCCGGGTCTGTGTGATTGTGCTATCAGTACTGCTCGAACGCAGAGCTTGCAATCAGAAACCGTTGCAATTGTGAATGTTGCACGTTGACGAACGCAACCGAGAAGAGTCTGATGATTCTTGCAGTATCAATATACAAATCGATGTGCAATCATCTCAAGTGGCCTTAAAATAGACTGATATATGTGGGCAGAAAAAAGGATCAAACCCAAAGAGGTATGTATTTATTTATTTATTTTATTTTAACACATAGATATTGGTGCAAGAGGAACCAAATACATATGCGCCACACAAATCTCATTCGATATGTGTGAGGGTTGTGATACTGCCCGGGTGCCCAAACCGAAACAGGTGGTTTTCTTAGGGGACCACACCCGGAGCCTTCGACCTAAGGGTCTGATCCACAAGGCAGTGGAGCATCGTAAGGAGATGCAGTCCCATGGAAGCCGGTGACCAACATTTGGTTCATTCGTCATTCGTTCCCGCAGGATACTGGAGCCCATGTGCACCATTGATTTGGAATCCGGTTAAAGCACCGGACATTCGCTTTTCGTCCTCTCATTTTCGTAAACAACATCCTCGCCACGAGAATGCAGTGAGTAGGACTTCCCTGGCAGAGGCTATATACGCGTGGCCATGTGAGAGCATTTCGAGAGAGAGAGCGGACTCTCCCCACTCTCGGCCGTACCAGGGCATTTGCGGGCAAAGAGGTCTGTTAGAAATAACAACTTAACGAAGGTTTCTTTTGTGTCTTGCACTCTAAACAGCAAAAGTCAGGAAAAGCGCAGCAAACCCCGTCGTAAGGTTAGGTCTGTTTTTAGGAGGAAAAACAGCATAAGCCATAACCTGATCACCCAATATGACAATTATTTTAGGTTTCGCAAGGTATGTGATACAACTGCAATTGCAACTCCACTGAGAAGTGATAAACGGATACGATGTAAGAATGAGAAACGACCTGTTATAAAATAAAGGTGGCTTCCTTAATCATAGTTAAGATGTCAAAGTTTGATCATAGTAATATGTTAGTTACCTTTTATAGAGTAAGGTAAAATGAGATAATTGAGCCCAAAACTCGCTCTGGCCTTGATATAAGGTTGATAAAATGTCTGGTTAGCTAGCTAATGCCTCAAAATATCTCTGGGGTCAACTTGCTAGAAATTCATAGACTAGGTAGCCAGATTGAATTAAAAGAAAACCAAACCAGGTGATGAAAGTGGTATTTAAATCCTTCGAATGTATGGGACTTAATACTACAGAATGGAAATAAGCAAAAGAGACCAGTTTTTGTATGTAAAGACTTGTTGCTACCTGACCATATGGAAAATTGAGAGGCTGAGAAAGAACTAAAACCAAGATATGGTGTACGTGAAAATGACCAAAAAATTGAATCTCGAATAAGGCCCTGACAGAGAATGATCCCGAGGTCACTTTGGTTGCAGCAGGAAACCATTTAAATGGTCATCAGATCTGCTACACAAATGCTCGGAACTTGTTCAACAAGCGATCGGACCTAAGTACACAGATAGATTCTACCAGACCAGATATAATCAATGTGACAAAAAAAACCACTCAGCCAATCTGAGGGCGTGTGGCGCATATATATTTGGCGCACTCTTGTACCAATATGTATATGTTCAAATAAAAATAACTAAATAAAGATCTGAGGGCAGTGAGGAAATTAATTTCGGATATTTCACATTGGTAAGAGCCGAGAGAACCCAGAAGCTTGAAGGAGGAAGAGTAGCTTTATCCATTGGAAATACTATCCCGTTACCGTTATTGATAACATCCCATGAAAGTGAAATATGTGAAACAGCTTGAGGTATTCGGGAATCTGTTAGTGCACTGCACATTCCTTGGATCACACTGAATAATTAGAACTACACAGAAAAGAGGCTCGCAACTTCATCCGTAAGAGGGAAAGAATGTGGGAGAGATTCAGGTTATTGTTACTGTTGAGATGAAATCTGCTTCGGTTTGGGCACCCGAGCAGTATCACAGCCCTCACACAAATCTCATTTGATTTGTGTGGCGCATATATATTTGGTGCCTCCTTGCACCAATATCTATGTGTTCAAATAATAATAATAATAATAATAATAATAATAATAATAATAATAATAATCAACATCGGGAAGCTCGAAACATTTGTGTCTCGACTCTATGCAAGTCTAAAAACTAAAGAAAAGCTCGTTAAGGAGATTACATAGTACTCTAAACGCTTATAATCGTACATAAACCAAAAGACAGAGAAGAGACATCCTAGAAGTGCGACATCACTAGTGCAGGACGATTGCAGTAATGCTTGGGCATTCTCAAATAACTTTAACAGTGTATATACCGAAGAGATACTCTCTCCTCCAGTTTATACAAAACCCCGTGCATACTTTGGACACAATGACCATCAGACAACTCGATATTTTTGGTCTGATAAATAAGCCTGATACAGGCAAATTTATGGAATAAATCCAAAGGGATTAGTGAATTTTATCGCAAATTCCTTAAGCATATATTTTAATTTATCTGCAACCCAAGGTAGACTACTAAATGATTGAACGTACGCTACAGTAAGTCCTGTATTAAAAACAGGTACAAGACACAAACCTGAGAACTATCGACCCATAAGGCCAACCAGAGCGGTTGTTAAGATTTTATGAAAAGCTATTCGGAAGTTGTTTAAATATCTAGACGAAAACCTGGTTCTTTCTGAAAAACGGTACGGTTTTATAGCAGCTTATTCATGACTCATAAACTTATTAGTAGATCGTCAAACTTGATGTGCTCTTGAAGATCAAAAGCTACCGACAGATACAAACTTCTGGGTTCTATCGGCTCTTACCAATGTGAAATTTTCAAAATTAATTGACCTCAGTAAGGTTTTTGACAATTTTCTGGACAACAGTGCCCTGGTACGGCCGAAAGTAGAGAGAGTCCGCTCTCCCTCTCGAAATGCTCTCACATGGCCACGCGTATATAGCCTCTGCCAGGGAAGTCCTACTCACTGCATTCCCGTGGCGAGGATGTTGTTTACGAAAATGAGAGGACGAAAAGCGAATGTCCGGTGCTTTAACTGGACCCCAAACCAACGGTGCATATGGGCCAAGGTATCCTGCGGGAACGAATGGCGTATGAACCAATTGTTGGTCACCGGCTTTCATGGGACTGCATCTCCTTACGATGCTCCACTGCCTTGTGGATCAGACCCTCAGGTCGAAGGCTTCAGGTGTGGTCCCCTAAGAAAACCACTTGTTTCGGTTTGGGCACCCGGGCAGTAACACAACCCTCACACATATCGAATGAGATTTGTGTGGCGCATACGTATTTGGTGTCTCTTGCTCCAATATCTGTGTTAAAATAAAATAAATGAATAAAGATATCGGGATTGGAGGTAACTTAATTATGTAGATATAGTACTTCCTAGTGTCGTGTCAACAAAGAGTAAAAGTTGACTCCAAGCTGTCTAGCTGAGAAACTGTGCTTAGAGAAGTTCCCCAGTGCACCGTTTTTGGACCAGTATTATCCCTCCGGTATGTGAATGAACTTCTTAGTCTCCTTACAATAGTAACGTTGTTGTATGCTGACGATATCAGTCAGTCATCTACAACGTAGGACAGGGCACATATATGCATCGTTCCAAGTTGCTATACTTCATTGACTCAACAGTATGATCACCAAATTCATAGAAGTAGTTACTTCAATGGTAGTAATATATAAAAAATTGCGTATAAGGATATAATACAGGAATAAAGAATTAGTTCGTTGAAATAAAGGTATTAAGTAATTTTAACCTTAAGGTTTAAGGGAAGACAAACAGTGCATACAACTACACCATTGTGATTGAGTTTGAGCCATGTCATCCAGTCTCCAACCACTGGTTACGATCGTCAGGCGGACCCCAACCAAGAAGTCTGAATCTACCAACATGATCGAGACTAGGAGTTAGTGACTCCAAGAAATGATGCCACGTTTGGCTTTGGCCACCTCTAACTTTCTTCCAAACGTCTTCAACACTAGTCAACATTGTACGTCGTGGCAACCGGTGTTTGGGTATGCGTGATACTTGGCCCAATCATCTCAGTCGATGTAGGTTCGCAACCTCACCAACTGATTTACCATCATTCCCTAATACCCTGCGTCTAACCTCACTACTACTTACCCGATGATCCCAGAAGATGCGAGCAACATTTCTATGACATCTGTGGTCAAATACTAGTAACTTACGAGTGTCCTCTATCCTCAGTGTCCACGTTTCGCTGCCGTGAAGTAGAACAAAACGAACTGCCACACAGTATACTCGTCTCTTAATTGGTAGACAGATATCTCGCCTTCGCCATAGGTGACGTAAGTTGGTAAGAGCCAAACGAGCCTTCTGAATCCATGCTGAGATTTCGTCAGATACCAGCCCACTAGGGCTGATCAGACTTCCAAGATAACTGAAGTTGTCGGCTCGTAGTCTACTTTACTCCCTATCCTGAGTTCAGATGTTGGGGCAGGCCAACCCTGGAGCAACAGTTTGCATTTAGAGGGGGAGAAACGCATTCCAAACATTCCTAGCATTGTTGCTTAGTGCTACCAAAATGCTTTGCATTTTAGCGTCTTCACCAAACAGGACTATTTCATCTGCCCCAAATGCCCTGGTACGGCCAAAAGTGGGTAGAGTCAGCCCTCCCTCTCCAAATGCTCTCACATGGCCACGCGTATATAGCCTTTGCCAGGGAAGTTCTACTCATTGCTTTCTCGTGGATTAAGTGTTGTTTACGAACTTGAAAGGACGAAAAGCGAATGTCCAGTGCTTTAACCGGGTTAGTGGATATGGAGAGTTCACCTAGGGGAATCAGGAAATTCTCATTCCAAACCAATGATGCACATGGACTGGCTTCGGTATCCTGAAATAACAAACGGCGTATGAACCAATTGTTGGTCACCGGCTTTCATGGGACTGCATCTCCTTACGATGCTCCACTGCCTTGTGGATCAGACCTTCAGGTCGAAGGCTCCGGGTGTGGTCCCCTAAGAAAACCACCTGTTTCGGTTTGGGCACCCGGGCAGTATCACAACCCTCACACATATCGAATGAGATTTGTGTGGCGCATATGTATTTGGTGCCTCTTTTTTTACCAAGATATGGTGAGTTAAAAAAGTCGATGATATTTTGAAGCCTTCAAATGACCTGTAAAAATTATCTGAATGGTCCGGATGGTCTATTATGATGTGTAGTGGTCGCCAAGGCACAGATGCACGGTGAACAATATTGAGCTGCCTGTTGTACGAACAATGATCTAATCAATACCTAAATATTGCACACTCCCGTGCGACAGCAGCCAAAGGTTCTAGAAACCTCTAGTTAGTACGTAAAGTCTTCAGCCATGTAGAGGCTAAGGCTTTTCTGATATAGTGGTGTTTGTTTATCGTAAACTCCAGTATTGGGTACAACCAGACAACCCGAGTCTAAAAGAAGACAGTAAGCTGATGAGAAAGGTCCAAAAAACAACGATCAAGTTGATTCGTGGGTTCACAAATCTGTCGTTTGACGAAACTGACTAAAGTATGCTTGTTTATCGTGTCATGTAAAAGATTCAGAGATGACCTGGGTACACTATCTAGATTTCTTAAGGACAAATTTACATTTGATACCCTCACCTGTTAGTCTTCGAAAACAGAATTTATGAGGACACTACGAAAATGTCTATAAGCCCTAAACAAATTACGGCGAGACTATAATGTATGAATGAACCGATCAATCTTGAGTTTTGGCGGGAAATCAGCTTATTCATTTGGCTAAAATGTTTTGACATTATAGCTAATATCACTTTGTGATGAAAACCATACAGTTAATTCCTAGCCCAAACTATCAACCGAAAATATTAATCATGACTACTCACAGTGGTTTCTAACTCTCGTTTAGCCGTACTACGTAGGTGGACATTCTCAACCCGACCTCCCTATTTTGGGGAAAATTTGAACCGTTTTGGAGGAATTTTAGGGAAGCCGCTATAGAAACTTTTGGGGAAATGGCATAGAGACCTCAAAATTTCCCTTTAACCTTGGTCAAGGCCATTTGACTTTGGGGATTTTTCTAAACTTTGGTGAGTCATTTGACTTTGGAGGTTCCCCCAAAATTTACTCGAAATTTCCTTAAGTTTCCCTAAACTTGGGAGATTGAGGTCTTTATAGCGTCTTCCATAAATTATGGTCTCTCAAAAACACTACTACCGAGACTAATACAGGCATTCAGCCTCCTGCCCATCCAAAATGAAACAAACTGCAGATTGACGGTGAGCAGCCACTAGGCGTAAATAACAGCGTACAGTACGCCGTACTTGCAGATTTGTGCTGAACACGATACAACATTAAAACTTGGAGATAATGGAAAATTCTGAAGAATCTGCCATATAATGGGTCCAGAACTCGATAAACCTATTTCAGGTCTAAGGATAAAAACCTAAAGTTGCATATACATGAAGTAGATATTTCAGGTGTTTAGGTACTGGACCATCTAGGTAATACCTCACTAACATGGGTAGAATAGTCTTATAGATGAACCATTGTGAATGCTTCTTTTCGAGGAACACCTTCCAGAATATATTAAACTTACTTTCGCTTTTTTTCTTCGAAGTCACCAGGCTGTGTAGAACCGGTATCTACCAGAGTCTCAGAAGATGGTTTTTTAGGATCGAAAGCTGACGTCAATTCGTCCAGATCTAAGCCAAAAGCAGACATGATATTTAAAGTCCCTCCCTCATAAGACCCTTGACATTCAATATCCAACATCCTTATGAGTCTTCAGTAATAAGGATAGGAGGTCTGTCGACCTATATTAATCCTTGCAGTTTGTAATACAGTGGAGGTCCAATCTCGTTTTGAATATATTAACAGATGGTGCTGATATTACGTGTTCCGGTAGAGAATTTCAGTAATTCACTACTAGGTGCGAGAAACGGAACTCCAGACGTAAACGGTTTGATCTCGGTTTTTGAACTTTCTTCGAATGTCCTCTCAAATGATCGGTTCTAGACGGGAGCAAAAGATAAGACATGTTAATACCAAGGTCATCGTTCAGTATACGATAGGCCAATATTAGATCACCCCTTATTCTACGGTAAGATAACGGAAATAAGTTAAGGTGTCTCAGTCTGTCTTCATAAGATAGGCCAGATAGACCTTGTACCATCTTAGTAGCTCGTCGTTGGTCTCTTTCTAGCATATCTGCTTCATATTTGAAACAAGGACACGCTGCTTGAATCCCGTATTCTAAATGTGGTCGCACATAAATCGGGTATAGTAATCTAAACATTTCATCATCTAAATACTGAAAAGACCTACGAATTGACCATAATACCATATAGCCTTTCGCAGCAGCAGCCTTACAGTGACTAGTCGTTTTGAGATCATTGCTTAATATGACTCCTAAATCTTTATAGTTTCTTACTTTTCGTAGCACGAATCCACGTAGTGTATAGTCATACGATTCATCAGAGTTATTTAACTGCATCACTACACTCTTATTAGGATTTACTTCTAGTGACCATCTATCTAACCATGCCACTAATGAGCTAAGATCGTCCTGTAATACTATCCTATCCAACATACTATGTATGGGTCTCCAAATCTTTATGTCATCAGCGAAGAGTAGAACGGATGATTTTGCTACAGTTGGCAATTCATTTACATAAAGTAAAAAGAGAAGAGGACCCAGGATTGTACCTTGGGGAACCTTACTTTTTACAGGTACCCACGAGGAGAGAGTCCCATTAACCCTTACCCTTTGTCTCCTGTCATGGAGAAAGTTACTTATCCAATCGACGACTGTATAATGGATTCCAAAACGTTTCAGTTTGAATTTAAGACCAGAGTGGGAAACCTTATCAAAGGCTTTACTTAGATCTATGAAAATCACATCCACAGGAGCATTCCGATCCTTTGCCGCAGCCCAATCTTCTCGTGCAATGAGAAGATTTGTCGAGCAAGATAGGCCTTTCCGAAAACCATGTTGTTCCCTGGAAAAAAGATTTTGCCCTTCAACATAGTTTATAACAGCTATCCGAATGATTTTCTCCATCAGTTTTACAACTGCACTAGTTAAGCTAACGGGTCTATAGTTACCAACTAAATCCCTACCCCCAGCCTTATACACCCGACTTATTATGGCGTCTTTCCAGTCTCTAGGCAGTTTGGACTGTCTCAGAGACATGTCGAATAGTATCGCTAATGGTTCAGCAATTACATCTGATATGGCTTTCATAATCCTAGGATGAATATCGTCAGGACCACTGGACTTATCAGGTTTGAGATGCTGGAGTAGCCTTAAAACAGTATCTTTCTCAATGACTACAGGATCCATCAGCGAGCCGTCACGGTCGCAACGAATCATTGGTCGTTCCTCATTACCGATAGAAAACACTTTACTAAAGTATTCCGATAAAGCTTCAGCTTTTTCGGCATCATTGTCTGCTAAGATTAACGGATTTTCTCGTATCAAAAGTGATGGAATTCCATCACTTCTCTTAGTTCGCCTTTTTATATACGAGAATAACCGTATCGGACTATATCTAGAATCCCTAACCAATTGTTTTTCGTATGATAGTCTAGTCTTACTTATTAACGCTTTACAGGCATTCCTAATCTTACAATAACTGGATCTGTATTGTTCTAAGCCAGTAGAGATGAATATATCCCAGTGATTCTTCCTTTTTCTAAGGAGTTTCCTGACCGTTTTAGTTATCCATGGTGGACTATTATTCAGTCTTCGCGGTACCAGGTATGGTATGAACGGGGACGTAACGAGTCTAAATTTACCTTTAAATACAGACCATGCTTCTTCAACTGATATGCTAGTATCTACTAACCAATTTGTCTTAGCAGCACATTCCTGAATGGCTGATATGTTAGCTTTCCATACATTTGGGCGAGGTGTAACCTGATCGTATAACATGTCCCTAGTACGAAACGTGAATGACAAAACAGCGTGGTCGCTGTTCACTAACGGTGGGAGAATATTGAAGTCGACAATATCCTCAGTCTCATGAGTGATTACCAAATCCAGCAGAGAAGAACCCTGGTTAACACCAAAACGTGTGGGTTGGGATACATGCTGTACTAGTGCATGCTCCATTATTGTTATCAGGAACTTACTATCAAAGGAGTTTATAGATCCTGCTGTGGTCATATCAGTCCAACTAATATCAGGTGCGTTAAAGTTTCCTGTTATCAAACATCTGGTATTTTCACTCCAAAGATGAATGTGCTCTAAAACAAAGTCATCAGCTAGGCAGATTGGGCTGCGATAGATGACACCGAGCATAAATGTACTACATCCGATAGCCAACTTACAGCTAATGACTTCACAAGTACCGCTATCATGGGAATCGCTAGTAGAGGAGCGGATATTTATGCTATTAGCTATGTATAACAGGACGCCGCCTCCTTTCCTACATCTATGTCTGTCACTCCTGATGCAGTGATATCCGGATAATTCTGGAGTAATGTCTAAGTCATCGACTAACCAAGTTTCTGTCACTGCTACTATGAAAGGCTTTACCCTGTCCACTAGTGCTTCTACTTCATAGAACTTATTTCGTAGACTACGAGCGTTGGCATATAAAACTCCTAAGTAGAACAGCCTATCCACACAGGCCTTGGTAGCATTCGTTTCCAAGACCTGACTATCCGAAAACCCACTAACCGGAGATTTTCCTCGCCGTTTTGCCGACGGGTTTCAAGTTCAGCTAGTGCTTTCTTCCTTTTTATTCTATATTCGAGAGATATGTCAGGTCTAACTCGGATGTCATAATTGTCGTGACAACGAGCGCTATTTAACAAGAGATCCCGTTGCTTCTCCGATCCTAGGATTACCTTGAGGAGTCTGCATGGACGGGGTTCAACATTGTCCTCGGTCCTCTTGCCTATTCTTACTAACTTTTTAACCTGAACTCCTTTGGAGTTATCTGGTAAAATACTACGAATGTATTCTCCTAGTTTTTCTAAGTCATGCGCGTGTCTAATTTTCGGATCAGGGTCATTTGACTCACGCAAATTGCTCACCATAATATTCGATGTTATTAAAATTTTCTTCTCAGTTACGCCAGGATGGGTTTCACTCTTACGATCAGATCTTGGTAGTGCAACTTGTGGCTCACAATTTGAGTCCACCATTGAGTTACTAACTACCTGTATACTGCATACAGCTTTTTTCTTTTCACTTCGTTTTCTACGTACCGTAGTCCATTTTTCATCCCTAGTAACACTGGGACTATTTGGAACGGTGACTGTTTCATCCAGATCGTCGGTTCCCACTAAAGGTGCATGATTAACAATGTCAGTACTAGGTGGTACTACTCCCCCTGTTAATATCAACGGAGATTTCACTTTTGCGTCGTTCAGAGTCGGTTTTTTGAGGCGTTGCGTAACAACACTGACACATTCGTCACCGTCAGTGCCCGTGTTGTCGGCACATATGCCATCATTCTTCTTACAGGCCAAAGCCAATAGGCTCATAGCCTCCTGTATTAGCAATGCCTTGTTGGCACAGCAAAACATGCAAAGCCAATGTGAGTTAGGCTTCGAACATCTTTTATATGCAGTGGGACTTAAACGGGTGCACATTTTATGGAACCATTTATTGCATTCGTCACACTGCATTCCCTCCTCCACAGGGAACAAGCAGTTTGGTTGTCCACATTTGTGGGTACTACCAACCATTTTAGTATGATCAAGGTGTAACACACAATATGATCACAATATGAACCACAAGACAACTCTAGCAAGATGTCAAACCTTAACTAAAGTACCTTGATAACGACCAAGAATGCTTCCGAGTGTAGTAAATACACAAAAGCCTAAAAAACTCAGTAAAATATCACCTTAACTGGAGTAGATTCAATTAAAGTGTAAATCTTAGTATTGATACGTAATTTACGATCAAAACAGTTTACTAATTTAACGAGAAACAATACCACTGTCCTTTTTAGATAGCGCGGAGGATGTTATTTTAAACGATTGACGTTTTCAGCCCGCTTTGTGCTATTTTTATATAGTTTCAGGTTTTCAGTGATGTCCAAAAAGTGTATCTTAGCCACTTTACTATTCAATTTTCATCTTTTTGGTCGTTATTTCTGGGTGTGTAGATCTTGTAATCTGAGTGAACTTGTCCCAGAGCAGTAAGGTTTCTGGGATACGTGATTATCACATAATCGGAACGAAAATTGTTTAAGCGCAGTGTTAAAGCAATAGAAGTAAAATTTACATGTTAACAGATGATTGTTTCGGAAATTAAATAAACAATTAATTTGGGTATTTAGAAATACAAATGATGTGAGTAGTCTGAAGTATAGGAATAAAAAGGGCAACATAGTTAATAATAATAAGTGAAATAGAAATATGATATGTGATAATTACAATGGCACATAAGTTACGAGATCTGTATTAAGCACAGCTAGCCCAAGGCGAAGGTGGTAGTCCGTGTTTCTGTAGAATTATGGTGTACTATGATATTAGTACTGCTCTAATGATAGACCTAATCCTAAAATTGTGTACTTGTCATGATATAACTGCCTAATCTATAAGATTTTACGTAGAAGTCATACCATCGTCTACACCAACTCATTGCATCGTAACAATTACCAATACATGATGGAGAACAAGCTTAGGCTAGAGATAGAACAATATGTTTAATATGAATAAAAGATATAAGATAACATTCAACAAGGACCACGCCTGCAAGG